GTCAAACAAATACATTTATTAATAATGTTTGCCAATCATCAAGTACGTGCTAGAAGAGCTAGCTGGCATGGTTTTTTTTTTTTTTTTTTTTTTTTTTTTTTTTGTCAGCTACTTACTAATAAATGCTAAAGCTATACACAAACGCGCTAAGTACAATTATGACGAAGTCAATCATCTTAATCATCATCATCGTCGTCGTCATAATGATTTTTCTCAGCTATAACGATCGCGTTTTCTGTCACTCACATTAAACAACAACAAAAAGAAAAACGTAAATAAGAAAATCTGCTGCTGTTGCCGCTGCTCCTACTACATGCAATTATGGAATTCTTGTGCCTCCCTCCCACCAACCCCTTTCTTCATCTTCCGCTTTATATTCCGACCAAAGCACTTCCTAAGCATATGCAAATAGATCAACAGAGGGAGGGAGGGAGGAAGGAACAACAGAAGAAACAGCAAACGATAATATGAAAAACAAACAGCTACAACAACATCACAATTACAAAATTACCAGTACTGAAATAAATAGGAAGAAAAAAAGAAAAAGCACCATCATCATCTATAGATTCTAGATGAAAGAATAATAAAAAAAACTTTATAAAGTACGCATCGACACCCAAACGCACATTCTGTTCTATTATTCATAAAAATGCGGTGAGAAGATCTTCCTCCGGAAGCCCCTCAAAAATCACAAATTATTTCAGGGTATTTGTTTGTTTGTTCGCTGGTTGGATAGCTTGCTTGCTTGGATCGATCATACATAAACGATAGCTAGCTATAGCTAGCTGACTGACTGGCTGCCTAGCTTGTTGGTTGGATGGTGGATAGTGAATTTGTGGCTAAGATTCCGCTCGATGGCGTTAAAAATAAATGATGTTATCATCAACAAACAACCGAAGTAAGAAAAAAAGTGGACATATAAAAATAGTATGTGGTCCCTGCCTGTGTGTGCCTGTTTCGTCTTCGCTTTTCTTAGTTTCCCCCAACAACATTTCCTACACCGCCGCCATTGTTATTGTCGCCGTCATCATTGCAATTTTTTATGAATTAAAACAAAAAAACAACAAGATATTAATACACTGTAGCAATATTTGAAAAGATAGATTATTGAATAATACATTAAAAAACAAAATAGTTACCGTATCCAAATTAAAGAGGGAGGATACTTTTTTGATAAAACCACCTCCGCCTCCACCACCATCTTTGCTCTTCTTTTTACGGGTGGTCATATTTCACGGCAAACGAAATTCTTCCAATGGGTTACTCCGTTTCGGTGTGTCACAGCAGTAGCAGCAGGTGTTGTTTCGCACGGTAGTTATATAGCGCGCGTCACAATGGTCCGTCCGTCCGTCGCCTGTCGGTTCACGAAATCCGTACGTATGAATGTATGACGAACAATACTACAAAATTCTTCTTTTCGATAGCAAAAATGGGTGTAATAACAACAACAAAAACACGTTAACCCAGTAGTAGTCGGTAGGTAGGTCGGTCACTCTCTTAATTTTTCTTTTAATTTATTTTATGTTTTTGCTTGTGCTTTTTTCTCCTTTTGGAATTTATTGGCGTTTCTTCTCGAATTCTACTTTTCCACGGAGTAAACAAAATTTTATTATTGCGAGAACGATTTAATCAAATACACTAACAAAACACGAAGAAGACGGCGATATGTCAAATTCCATAAAATAAACACAGCACTGACACATACGCACGCACACAATCATTCGAACGCACGTAAAGGCACTCAATTACTACAGCAACAATGTATCGTCGTCGAGGAGTGCTGGTTGCCGCAACATGTCTAAAATTACTTGTTTAATCATCATCATCGTCGTCATCACGAACATCATCATTATTGTTATATATCGTTCTTCTTCTTCTCCTTTAATAATTCCAACACATATCTATGTGTGTGTGTGCGTGTGTTTGTTTTATCTCTTCATTCACTTGTTGCCAAATAGCTATAGCTTAAAGACTATTTGTACTTGTTGTATTTCTTCTTTTCCACATATTCTTCTATTTCCATAAACTTTATGATTTGTTTACAATATAAACAACACCAAACAATAACAATTTATATTTAAAATATAATTCTTTCGTGGGAACGGCGGCGTATTTTTGTCAATGTTAAACTTTCCCTTCAAAGTAAAAAAGGCACACACAAACACAGTTGAGTTGAGAAAATAAAATGTACGTATGTCGTTTGCCTCGATTGTTGCGTTAATCGAATCGCCCTGTTATCGGAATTCCCTTTTGTGCAGCGATAGCACATAGGAAATACCGATGCGATTAGTCAGAGAGAGAGAGAGAATGTGAGTAGTCGAGTAATCATTTGAATGGCTTGTTTGTGGTTTTAAGAGTTACCATCGTGTATGGTTGTACCAAATAATAGCACATTTAAACATAGAATACGCAAAAATAATTGTTGAAATGTGTAGATGTCCACACATTTCTCTAAGAACAATGTAATGATATATATCAGATTATTCTCATTTTTTGTTATGGGTCAAATTGGGAAAAGCTGATATGTTTGTGCATATCAGCTTTGTTCTCGACCAGTGATGAATTTCAGTATACTTTAATTCATAAAAATTGTAAAGCTCATAAAATAACTGGCCACTTTAAGAATTTGGGGAGATAAGATATCAAAATTAAATAAAAAGGCACACAATTATGTAGTTAAATAATAAACTGTGAATTAATGCAATCGCAGATTTCTTCCCATTATTCGTTGTGTCTTTGACATAGTTCATTGCGTTTTTTGCCATCATTAAAATACAGTAAAAACTCGGTAATCCGGATAATTGATTGCAGACCCCAATCCGGATTACCGAGATTTCCGGATTATCGAGTTTTATTAATTGGTTTAAATTTATATTAATTTGGTGATAATTTAATTATTTTTATGTTTTTATTAAAAATGAAAATTATTCATTTCAAAAATATGAACTTTGAATATAATAGGTACCATTTTCAATTAAATTTGCATCGATTTTTTTTATTAAAATAAAAAGTAACGTATCTTTACAATCCGGATTTTTGAGTCAAATAGGTCAATCAATCCGGATTATAGGATACGCAAGGGGTTGTGAAATGCAGTCCGGATTACCGAATAATCCGGATTGTCGAGGTCCGGATTATCAAGTTTATACTGTATGTTCTTTTATTTGTAATCTGTTGTAGTTGTTGTACCATATTGCGTCAAAAGAGCTTTTTCACATGCCATTTATTTTCTTATAATTGCAAAGCAGTTATACAGCGTATTCTTGATATTTAACATTTGTCTTGTATCAAATAATAATAAAAAGTAATTTTTTTTTAATAAAATCAATAAATAAATAAAATAGTGAAAAATATTACAAAATTAAATTACAATAGGGCAACACACATTGCAGCTTAAATTACAATATGGCAACACGAACCTTTTCTTCAACCTCCATTTTCGAAAATTCGAATACGCATCTCGCATTTTTTGCTTCTCCCTTCATTCAGATTAAGGCGAGAATGTGAAAGCGATATTCTTGCGAATATCAAGAATAAGGCTGAATAACTTTATTTTCAAAAAAGTTACAGATCATTTATTCAGATTGCAATTTCAGTTGCTTTAGTTTTGTCCACCAGTATATGGGATCTCTAACAAATAGCTTAAAATGTATTCCACCTCGTGGTAGATGGTATAAAAAGTGCCGAAACAAAGCAACGATAAGTAAACTTCTTTCTGATGCTATCGATTCAAATGTCGCGTTGCCAAACGTGGCATATTTGTAAAACCACATTCGCATGAGACAATAATTTGTAATTACGAAGTAAATAATGAGGCATACTTTCAGGAGTTTTATTTAATCACACCTACTTTCGAGTTGTTATCAATTCCTAGCCAACATTTATCAATTTCAAAATATGATTAAGTTTTATATATATTTAAAAAACTGAGCTCGGTAGAAAAAAGGACAATAACAAAATTTTAAATACATACAAACCTTTATATTTTACAAGCATAGCAATCAATGCGAAAAAAAACATAACGGAAAAATAAAAAACGGATAAAAATTATAAAAAAACATAACTTTATTTATTAATTTTAAGAACGAAATATGTTCGCCATGCAATGTAATTAAAAAATACAATTAAAAATTATAAAGCATTAGCAAAGTAGCTGTTGTATCATAACCCACAAAAATAAGAATCATTTGTTGTTAATAAAAAAATAAAAATTCTTACTAAAAAGGAACACAGCAATATTAATGTATAAATAATAATATTAGCATTAGTATAAAATATAAAAATTAACATAAAATCGTTTTCAAAACGGAAAATTATTCTTAGTAAACAAAAAATATTTAAAATACACAAATAGGTTTTTGGCAATAATTTGGCATTGGTTGGCTTAAATAAATGTTTGATTATTTCAAAAACAAATGAAATGTACTCAATGGAATTCAATTCGATTTGGCAAAGATAATGAATTTATAACTGAAGACAAAAATTTAACATAAAACTTTTAGCATATTTTTCTTTTTTAAATTATTTAATTCTAATGATTTGGATTTGTTGGCACATCATGTAATTGTTATGTTTTTATTTTTTTGTACATATGTTCAACAAATGTACCCAATAAAAAATAATGTCCAAAATATTTGTAATCCTGCAAACACCTTACAGGCTTTGGAGAAAAATATGTCTTAACAAAATTGGAAATGAAAATGTTAAAATAGAATAACGATTCGAACACACAAACATGTATGTAAGTACAATGACCAACAAAAACTTGGCACAAAACACTATTTATCACTTATATGCTAAATTGGAAAAAATAGACATAACTCACTCCCATGTGTCATTATTGGGGATTCATGTTTGGAGATTCTTCAACTTACTTGGAATATGCTTGCTGGTATAACGATGGCCAATTATTTCTTCTTATGTATGTATGGATGTGTGGTAGGTATATGGCTTACTTACATTTTATAATAACTTGAAAAACATACTTCATATGGACTTACACTATTTATTTCTGTGCTTCCGAGCGGCTGTTGGCGACCATTAGTTTGTAGTTGTTGTTCAGTGTCCGTTAAAACATCTGCTAAATTTTGTTCATTCTTTGTTTGATTTATATCCGTTTCAACAACTTTTACAGTTTGGTTCTGAAAATAAGAAAAATTGAGTGCGAAATTTAGTCAATTGATCAATAATATTTATGTATGCAAATTTAATTTTTTTTAGAAATAAAACCGAATACCTGATATTCAAAAATGTCTAAGAAGTTTTTCTATACCGGAAATTTTTTAGAATATTAGATTAGAAGAGATAAATCAGCAAAGTCACGACATTGTTGATGATAGTTCTTGAGTTAGCAAGCATAAACGGAACAGTCTTGAGTCTAAGAAAATAGGACGACTAAATTAACGTGTAATAATTAATACTTTATTATTCACAAACATAAATTATATATATGAAAGACTCCGTAATATAATTAAATTGTTGACCCTATCTTGCACGATCTTATTTCAAATCAAGTTTTTATGTCGAGAGACAAATTGTTCGCAATATATCTGCATTTAAAGTGAAATGTCAAAAGTCAGAGAAAAAAGGATGGACAAATTCTTCCGCATTTCATTTCAAAATTACTTAGTGACTACAAAAATATTTCTACAAATAAAAATTCTATGCCATATGGCTTACTATAAGGAGACTACGAAACTTAAAGCTATTCTAGTGTCGCATTTAGTATGCTAGGCAATCTATTAAAAAATTCGTGTTTTACACGTCAATTAAATGTATCATGCCGTAAAAAAAAATAAAACATCAGCAGGTCATCATCAGAATTCCTTCATCTCACAACTTAAGCAATGCTGCAGGCGGCAGGTGTTTTCTTCTAAGGATGGCGGGGAGTTCCTCGTTGTACTCCAGAAATTGATCCACTGTCCTATTCTCCACAAGATGGCTCCTTTCCATGAAGTTGAGCGCATTCCTCATCATGCAGACATCGATCCGGTTGAAATCGATGGCATTGTAGATGTTCTGGTTTGGCGGACGTCTTTAGATTTTGTTACTATCTTTTGTTGGCCTCATATTCCCACGCATGCTGCCAATATTCTTCTTTTTCATGCTCTAATTCTTTCCATTTAAACTTTCCATACGTCCAAGCGGCGAAAGAGATGATGATTGGCCAGATTACTTGCTTTTAAATTAGCAAATTTACACGTTCAGCTTTCTTTGCACAGTGCTTTCAAAGTGTCTTTGCAATGATAGTAGCACATCATCAGCATCATCCTTCAGGTGGTCCTGATATGTCATAGATGAACAAGTTGTACAGAACTGGTCCAAGGCACATCAAGTCCTTGAGGCATTTGGAAAAATCTGCTACAAGGGTAGCCGAAATTCCAAGTACATCAAGATATTCCGGGTTGGCGTTCACTCTTAATTAATGTGCGACACTGATGTTTGCAATAAGATCCGATGTATGAAAAAGATTTCTATGTGTCCCGTGCAATAATTATATATACCCTTTAGATGTGTGTATCTCAATATATTTACTTACAAATGGACAATTTGGTGAGGTACAATAGGCACTCGCCGGATCCTGTTTTTGTTTATTTCGTTGTCGGCTTCGATTGCTCATACAAATATTACAATCATTGGCAACAACTCGATTGTTGCCTTCCTCACACAGTTGACTCGATGAAGAGTTAGCTGGCAATTGGCCCGTGCTACTAGCACTGACACTACCACCGCCACCTATCGTTGACGATGAGGACGATGATGATTTTTGTTTTCGCGGACGAGAACGTATCCGAACCGGCGATCGTACATGTAATGTGGAGAAACGACGACGCGATGTACGCACAATAGATATCCAATCGATCATTTTGATTTGTAGCAGTTATTGGTCGGAGGTGTGGGTGGGAGGGCGGTCGGTGTTAATAGATTTCAATACACAAAAGTTCTTTGTTTGCGGCACAATACTGATGTATGTATCATCAATTTTTTTTTATATTTTGTTTTTGATTGTTGTTTTGAGAATTTCTTTTTGTGTTATATATATGTTTTTAATTGTCTCATAAATAGTTTTAACTTTTTTGTGGTTTTCATTAATGTTTTTTTTTGTTGTTGTTGGTGTTGTTGTTTGATTTTGAAATATAAATAACTAAGGTACAATTTGATTCGAATTTATTTAAATTAAAAAAGTACTTAATGTGGTCTAATTTGTATTTGGTACCGGTAGAGCTAGAAATCTTTAAATTTGAATTAAGGTTGAGAAGTATAAAGAGGTGTTTTTGAAAGCGTGTACTGTGTATACAAAAAGTACTAAACTCTACTAAATTTGGTACAATTTAAATTTGGACAAGCGGATGGTGCCGGAATCCTGAAATTTGAAATTAAAAATTGTACTTATGTGTACGAAATTTGGATTTGGAATCCTGAAATTTGGATTTAAACGACATTTACATTAGAACTTTTTACCGGGTTAACCCACTTTATGAGGATTTATATGACATATATACAATGGAATTGACAATTGAAACCCGCTGGGTTAACGAAATCCGGTTAAATGTAAACGTACTGTTAGGGTCGTTCACGTTGGGGCGTAGTAAGTTTTGGAAATTTGTACTAAATGGTACCAAATGTGGATTTGGCTGCACCGATAGAGCTGGAATCTTGAAGTTAGGATCACTGTTGAGGTGTAAGATCGGGATATGTAGGAATTTTTGGAAATTTGTACTAATGTGTACTAAATGGTACCAAATGTGACTTGGGATGAACCGATAGAGCAGGGATCCTTAAATTTCGATTTGTGGGGTGTAGGATTGGGGTACGGGTAGGTATAAGGAAGTTTTGGAAATTCGTACTAATGTGTACTAAATGGTACCAAATGTGGATTTGGGTAAAATTAAACTAAACGATATCAAATTTGAATTTGGGTGAACCGATAGAACTGGAATTTTTAAAATTGGAATTATTATTACTGTTGGAGTGTAGGATTGGGGTAAGTAGGAAGTTATTGAAATTCGTACTAATGTCTTTTAAAGGCACTAAAGCGATTGGGCTGGAATGATGAAATTTGGAAGTATGATTTCTTTTGGATTTATATTAGTGTGTACTATAGGGTACTAAATTAAGTAAAATTAAGATTTGGGTTAACCTATAGAGCTCGAATCATGACATTTGGAATTAATGTTGGCAATAAATACTTCAAGAGTAATCAATGGTACCAAAATTAGTACAGAGCCAGATTTCTGTTGCGTTCAGAATTTGTGTGTAGTGTTGAGATATTGAGGTAGCTTTGGAAATATATGTACTATAAGATAACAAAGGAACTAATTGGTACTAACATTTTAATTATGGTCAATATTGGTGTGTAGGTTGATTAGTTATTCTAACTATGCATTTCTCAGTGAAAACAAAATAATATACGAGGGCAGTTCGGAAAGTTCTTAGCCTAGCACAAAAGCGCCATATAAACCGAAAAATGTTAAATGTTTTGGAAACGTCCATCTCTGTTATGAACACACGAAACATTTTGTTTCGATCTGGCAACTCCTTCAGTTTTTCAGCACTCTCTATACTCGAAGACCTTTGTTTTTTCGATTGAATTTAGATGTTATACTTAGCTAGGATAAATTGGGATGGTCAAGCAAGTTTTTATGAAAAAATATCCATGGATCCTTCATATAGAAACAGGTGTTCAAAAAAGACGCATCCGCAATTGTTTACAATGGAAAAATTCGAAATGCGTACTTTCACTGTAAAAAAATTGCGGATGGGTCTTTTTTGAACACATGTTTCTATATGAAGGATCCATGGATATTTTTTTCATAAAAACTTGCTTGACAATCCCAATTTATCCTAGCTAAGTATAACATCTAAATTCAATCGGAAAAACAAAGGTCTTCGAGTGTAGAGAGTGCTGAAAAACTGACGGTTGTGTATTCTATAACATATATATAACTACTATATATGTAGAAACTCCACTAATTTGACGTATACTATTGAACATAGCCGATTACACAAGGTCATTAAGAGTACAATTAATTTGAAATGAAATATAATTTTAGAAGCAACAAGAAGTTTTTAGAAGTCACAAGAAGAATAAGAAGTGAACTTAAATTATTCGATGTTAATTTGTGAACTATGAAAATAATTACTTTATTTAATAATATGAACCCAACTTGATAATTTAACAATAAAAACAATAATATTAATTAAAACATTAAAGGAAGTGTTTGAATTTGAACTGAAGGTAACCAAACCTATCCAACCATATCCCAAGTTCTGAGTTGACACTGTAGCCGTACCGATTTGTATAGGCATTTTGAAAACTTGTATAACCTGCAAGTTTTGATGTTGTTTTAAAGATTTTAGCTGACATATTTTTGTTCCCAATAACTTTCGCCATTTTATATTTCTGTTTTTTTTTTAATAAACACAAATTATTTTCAATATGCTTTGCAGTGTGTGTAATGTTTAAGTATTGAAAGAAATTAGGCGAATTAGTTCATCACGGAAACATAGGATAGAGATTACTACTAATTTTTAATTTGTTTCCATATAGAAAAAACACGCTGCGTTTTAGACAATTCACAAAAATAAATAAATTCACAACAGATTGCTGTGAATTGCCGTATTATAGTATATTAGAGAGGAGCGAGGGAGGGAAATGATGTTTGTGTCTACTGTATATAATTACTTTTTGAGTCATATTATACGCAAATTCACAAATTGTGTACATTATATTCCATGAAATGTGTTTTTTTTTTTTTTTGTTTTTTAATTGAAACATATTTGGTTGGCATAGGCGACTATCATCTCATCATCATCTTCATCATAATGCTTAATTTTTGTTTTTCTATATATGTATATATTTTTTGTTCAAATTTTATACAGTATTTCGAAACGTTTGTAGGATGACACAGGTGTGTGAGAAAACGGAGGATGACTGCCAGGCAACAGATTTTGGTCGACAGGAAAGCAACAAATATTTTTAATAATCGGTGTAAACAATTTGCTTTAAAACACGGCACAATTTCACATTTGTCTTTCAGCTGCTTGTCTGTCTGTATTCTCTCAAAAACCCGGCATTCGGACGGACAAGAGTCCATAATACCATCATCAGTCGTCGTCCGTTGCGCATTGTACGTTTAAGATTTCTGATTAGGGGGTGGTGGGTGTTGGTTGTTTTTTGGTGTGTGTGTGTGTGTGTGTGTGTGCATGTGCGATGTGATGAGCTATTGAAAAATGTAAAATCGCATGCCAAATAAACACCAACAAACAAAATACATATTTCTTTGTTCCAAATATTTTGTATTAATTGTCAAATATTGTCGTCATTTTTATGATCACTAGACCCCACCACCAAGCGCCAATATTGTTTATGTTGATGGTGGTATTTTTTTTTTGTTTTGGTTTATTGGAGGACACAAATTTCTCCGAATGCCAATCACAAACCACAACAACATATTTCACCACAAATTTCAAATAATTTTTTTTAGACAACCCACCAGAGACGAACGAAAAAAACAAATACCGAGAAATGTAATTTTGAAATTTCTTTCTCCGTTTACTTTTTTAGATTAAAAGAAAAACAAAATTAAGCAAAACGTTTTAAAAAAATCCGCCAAGACGTAGAGACGTATAATATCGGACATATACGGAACACAACAGAAGTTCAACTAAATGGAAATATTGTGTTTTAAAAACATTTTTCCTACTTTGCAAATAAACTGTAGGGGTTTTGGCGGGGTTGAGGGGTCGCGGCCTGTTCTTCTAGTCTGTCTGTTTATATTGTTAATGTCCGTTCGTTTTGCTGTTTGTACGGACGGTCGGTCGGTCGGCTGGTTGGCAGTGTGCCCGTATGTCTGTCCATCCGTCAGACGCTCCACGTTTTAGCTTTCCGCCCGCCTGCTGATTTTTAGTTCGTTCAGCAATATTGTTTTGTTTATACCAAAAAAATAAAATAAAACAATACGAGAACACATTGAAAACTCATGCTAAAGTATGTGGAACAAAGTTGATACATGTCTACGTACATACAAACAAACAAAAATCTTCATTCATATTTAGTATGTGCAAACACTTGTGGAGGTGTAAAGCACGACGACTACGATTGGGGGACAAAAAATGTTCCCGGAATAAAAATAACTAGAATAGAAATAACCAATTTGACTCTCCGACTATTCAATACCACACTTTGGTACGATGATGAAAATGTCCTCTTCCAAATAAAAATTTTACATCACTAGTGTCTTAAGACGAAATCTCAGACAACTTAGTGCGAGTCAGTCCGGAGTAATACATTTCATAGAAAATTTTTTAAAAATTTTAGAAAATTATTGGTATGATCCAGTACTGCAAGTATCTACTTCTTTTTATCGAAGAAAATAGTAAAATGTAGTAGATTATTGCAGTACGGGAACAGACCATATATCAATTTCGAAATTACGAATATTACCAAACCCAATTTGTTGGATTTTTGCAATTGTTTTTCCTAAGGTATGCACTTCGGAGCCAATCCCTAATTTTCTCACAGACTTTTGCTTGTTGTAGGAATCACATCTACCCCCTTTGTCATCACGAGAAGCATCTTAAGGCCAATTCAACTGAATCAAAAAGCATCTTAAGGTCGTTAGGAAGTTCGAGACATATCAACATCCAAAAGCCTCAAGGGAACGTGAGGTAGATCGAATTTATACCTGGCGTGCAGTAGCTACTTCTGTCGGGACATCTATCAAGGCGACGGTATAGGAAACCCAATGTATAGCATGTGGCAAACACTAAATCAAAGTCCATAATTGTATCAGTGGCAATATCAGCCACTCAAGCGGAAGCCGACGACCTAGGTCAAATTCTCCTCAGGATATACTATGGGAAGACGAAAATGTCAAGAATTCACAGCAACATTCAAGTTCTGCACTAAAGACTGCTTCCGGTAGTGGGTAGTAAGTTATCGGTAGTACCAGTTTAGGACATTCCATGCCGAATGATGAATTCTGTATGGTTTCCTTATCCGCTCTATAATTCCTTCCTCCTCTACTGTTTCCTTCTCATTTTTGTTTACTTCACTATCCTTCTCTCTTTACAAGGTATTTTAGGTTATATATCGATCTGTACCGAATTCATTACAATCAGAAGAGGTAATCGCAAAATCTGTCGAGTTGCCTACTTAAATGGCAGAGTAAAACTGGAAGACTCATTTCTTTAACTTTTTTTCATTCATTCGGGTGTTTTGCCAAACTTTAAATCCTAAAGTATACATTCTCACCCAAGTGTATACAAATAAATAAAAATATATATACAAAATAAGAAAAAAAACTTAATGTCTGTCAGTAAATTTGTATTTTATTAGAAGTATTTTTCCCACGAAACACACAAAAATTCACATATATATATATATATATATATATACCTTGAAAAATACATATATACCTATGAATGTCCGAAGAAGAAAATGCATTTAAACGCATAATAGTTGTATATACGCAGCAACAGCATCGTGATATTGCTATTTGTGAACGAGGGTTATTCCATAAAACAAATTTGTTCGTGCAAACGAAACGAAAAAATATATATATATATACGAATACGACACAGAGCGTACTCAGCGCAAGTGACCAGATTGATGAATAATAATTACTACAGGGTATATCTTCTGTGTGTGTGTGTATGTATTATTAAAATATTGACATTAAACAGGAAACAAAGCATTTATTATTTAATGTGTTTTCCTTTTGATTTATTAGAGCATTGTTTGAGATAATCTTCTCTAGAGTATATAAAAATCCAATCAATAGGCAGCAAACAATGAATTTTGGTTTTTATCAATGAATTTTTTGCGATTGAATGGATTCGCCACATACGTACATATATATAAATGATTTTTAGCAAATATATAGTTTATATATTTGTTTCCTTTATGTTTATGTTTTTTTTGTTTAAAAATCATGCTGTCTTTAGTTTCAATAAAAACGGTTTGTTTAAATTCGGCCAAAAATAAATTAATTACCAACGTTAAAATTTGTTTAAATATAAGATTTAATTTTAGATTCCGTACAGTTCGGCTCGTTTATTCCAATGTACCCTATTCGATTGATTCGATAACACCTAAAAAGGTACTGGAATGTGGTCGTAATGACGTAAACCAAGAATCAATCCGTTAAACGCAATTTTGGTTTCTCGTAGAATCGTTATTTTATTATCTAATTTACTTAAAAAACAAATTCAAATACTTTGTTATACAAATACTATGTTATTTGAATTTCTACTTACATCGGCTATTTTAACAGTGTGACCATCTTGTTCCCACTTGCTGGCAATTTGTAAAGTTTCAACTGTCTTCTGTTGTATTGTCTTTGAATCATCCAGCAATGTTAGTTCATAAAATTCTTGGATATCTGAAAAATATAAAAACGGAACAATTAAAATATAATACAATTGTAAATAAAAACAATAAATTCCAAAACTCCTTTGTTTGCTTAAAAAATAATAAAACAAATTTCTTTCGTTGTATTGTTGTCATCATTCTTCTGCTTTATTAATCAATTTTCTTTCCAAATCATCTCATACATATTTATAAATATAGAATCCATTACATTGCTTAACACTACTCTATATCTCAGGAAACCGTATTCAATGGTGGGAAAGGATTTTGCTTCGACACCACCAGCTTGTTATGACTATGTGATATATAACCTTTGATTTTCCCCTCAAATATTAAATTCGCAACAATACAATGCGTCTCATCGATAGTCATATCCGTTTCGCCCACAAACTGTAACGCCGACGCAAAAGCATTCAAATCCAATTGATGTGTCTGCTTGATGAGATAGACTTTTTTGAAGAGATTACGATAGACAATAAATTTAAGTTTCTCAACCAGCAAATAAATGCCACATTTAATAAAGAAAATTTCATGCCTCTGTATAACATCGTCAAATTTACGAACATTGCCCTCTTTGAGGGCTTCTGCCAATTCATGAAATTGCAAAACGTCATAACGTTCTAAGATATGTTTTTTGGGCAAAAAGCCAAGCAACATCTTAACCGGCACTAAATAGATGAGTATAAGCCGTTTGTTGCGAGGAAAATTCTTGGGGCAATGCTTGAAGGCAAATGACAAGAATTCATCGGCGCTCTTGTAGTCCGAATCGAACATGGCTTTGCGTCCAACGAAATATTTGTAAGTGATGCGTTCTGGCAGAGGGAACATATCTTTGAATGCACTCGAATCGATGGCACGTATCAGTGGCTTGCATAAATGTAACTTGTTGATGCGAAAATAAACCTTGAATAGTTGACATACTAAATTTAACATGCCCAAACGTTTTGTTTCGTTGTCCGATGATCTGAAAGTAGAACAAAAAAAAATAATGGATTAAACAATGTAATTGATAGCATATCTATTCAAATAAATATCGGTCGTATTGGTAGGTTGAGGTATGTGTGTCCGTTTTAAAATATGTCTGAAATAAAGTTGTTTGTCCTTGTTTGGTTCATGTCCCAAAAAAGGTTATCATTTGATTGTACCTAATTAAGGGGCGTGCGTGGCATCAGTAGTACAACTACAAACCTTGAGTATTTGGCATTCCGCTTTAACGTTTACAAAATTCACCACTAGTCTTTTTGATTAATGATCCGCCTCTTCGAGAACTCTGCAGCCGTTTTCTGAGGCATGTCACTCGATACATCAACTCTACATTTTCTCAGTCCAGCTTATTACATTATCATCATTAAGGTAGAAAATTTTCCGCGTACTTTATTATTATTGTTGTAGCTGTTGTTGGATGGGATGACCGTTGAAATCCGATTATTAGTTTCATACTTTTTATATCCTTTGTAGTGAATATTAAATTTTCCATTTCATTTGTAACACATAGAAATATTCGTCAGAGTTTCCATGTCCGTCTGTCTGTTCAAATTTCGATAGATCGACTTAAAATGACTTTACGGGAAGCTCTGAGAAGATTTTGAAATGTTTGTCATGGGTAACTTTGGTACTGAGTACATCAGCAATACTTCCTGATATATGTGAAGTGTCAAAAATACTCACACGAGGGGTAAAACGAGATATATCGGGTCCCCGCTTCCACCTTACACTTTGAAACATTTTCCAACGAATTCCACACACATTTGTATCTTGGAAGATAAGGCATAACCTGCAGAGGTACTGCCTTCAAATGATGTGGTCACTTCTAAGGATTTTTGGTATAATTATTTGTTTTGAAATAGTAGTGTTACCACTATGAAACAACCTTTCCAAATATATTTTTGCTATCTAACTCCCATCCATTATTTATATTACGACGATATTATCCCCTTCCGTCTGACCGATATTTCATGTTCATGAAATAATTTTCCACATTTTACTTACCGATTATCCGCTGCACAAACACGAAAACAACTCATCAAACAATCGGCTGCCTTTTCCAAAATCTCTCCCGGTTTCGAACTATTACCCATTTCTTCACAACGCTGGGCCAATATTCGCAAATCCAAACAGGCTGTATACATAACGGGCAAACACCAATTTTCCTCTTTTAATTGTTGTAGCATCTTCACCACTGATTGGATACACTGCGATTGGTATTTATAGGCCTGCATGAAATCTCTGGCTGTCAAGAAGGGAACAAATAAAACAAATCGTAAACAACACAGATAAATCTCCCAAAACAATTGTTCATACTTACGTTCCAAACCCAAATAATATAAAACTTTCAGGTGAGCACACAATATCTCATCGATTGGTGATTCCAACAGTCGGCCCACAGCATTTTCCGGTGATTCCACATACAAATTACGATTCATTATGTGTTTGTCTTTGAGGGAAATGTATGAGGCCAAGGTGTCACCATCACCGTTTGTCCATGCCCGGTGGACACTGCTCAGATAGTTATTTAATGTTCCAAACATTTTGTTATTGGTTCTTGTTTTGTCAATTTTATTGTTCACTCAGTATTATTTGGCAAATATTTTTTTATTAATCATTAAAAATTGCCGGCTTTTGGCATAAAATAATAAATGTTTTCGCAAAGAAACACCAAACCCGGAGAAAAACACACCAACAAAAGTAAAACGATAATTCAGTTATCGACTATGAGAGAAACAGTGTTGCCAACCGTAACAGCTGTTGTTTTCTCAATGAATGACAATACCATAGTAATTCTTAAGGTAGCTTTATACTTGATGGTACACGTTTATGCTTAACAAAACAATAAATACCAGAATTTGTATTTTTATTCATAAACCACAAATAAAATTATTTGTATCTGTTGTATTTATATTACAAAAACATAATTCATTTTCAATTACTGTCTTATTCTGTTAGAATAGCAATAAAATTTAATTACTATCAATGTTCTTAAAATTTTGAAAATATTCGACCTTTTTAACTAATATTATTAAAATCGTAAATTAAAACTTATATAATTAATAAAGAACAATTCGAGGACAATTTTTCATTTTTATTTTATTCATAATACAAAAGTCTCCTGGGCCTATTTACTGTATTAAGCATTATTAAAAACCTGATAGTCTAAAATACATTTTTTATTTACAACATTGGTTCCCCAGCCTAATTTACTTTTACTGTACGAAGATAATAAAACACAAATGAACTAATTCTCCTAAAAATTTGAATAAAGTTTAAGTTTTAAACTTCACAACACGAACAACATACGATTTTTCATAAAAGGAGCAATGAATTAAAAGTATATTAATCTGTTGGTTTCTGCTAGAATGTAAAAAGGAAACAACGTTCGTAACGACCTATGTATTCCAGTTTTAATAATTCTTTAGAAATTAAAAGTATTCCGAAAATCGACATATTTACGAAACGAAGTGCCTAAAAAGCTAACAACAAACTCTGATATATGCTCACGAACTCTTACGTTATAAACAAATCTAGCAATCATATTTAAAATGTGCTGTAATTTATGAAAATTATATTCCGAAGTTCCAGATATAACTTCCAATGCATATAACACATGTGGCATCATCAGTGAACGGGCAATTTTCGCCCTAACATGTAAAGGTAGTTAAATACTGGTGGAATACAATTTACGTAACACTGAATAAATTTTACTGTCAAAATGGGATCCAAAATTTAATTTGTTATCCAAGATAACACCTAAACACTTGTGTTTCTCAACAACGTCGACCCTTGAATTACCTATAAATATCCCAAGATCTTGAACATGAGAACCGGACATTATAATTTTTGTTTTCAGTGGGTTTATTTGTAAATAGTTGGCGTTGGTCCATCTCAGTAAATTCTCCAAACAAAAATTCATTGCCTCTTTTAAATAATCAATGGAATTTTTTCAGATTTGAATAAAAGCATAACGTCATCAGCAAATATAAATAATGAGCATACATCAAGGTTAATATATTCTGGCAAATCATTTAGGTTTAGAATAAACAGCAAGGGGCCCAAGAACGAACCTTGAGGTACCCCTGAAGAAAGAGAAGCACTCCTAGATTTAACACCACCCATCTCAACATATTGTGATCTACCGCTAACATACGACATTATCATTTTGCAGGCTGAAAAGGAAAAATTTAATTTATTTTTAAGTTTACATATAAGCGTACTGTAGGAAATCGAATTAAAAGCCTTGGACATATGCAATGAAATAAGAGAGCAAATTTTCTTATTATTAAGATCACTCCGGACAGATTCGGTTAGGTGTAACATCAGAGAAGTTGTGCTCCGGCCACGTCGAAATGCATGCTGTCCATCAAAAATCTCAGAATTAGTGTGCGATAGAATTTGGTCTTTTAATATATGTTCACAAATTTTCGACAATGCAGGGAGTATTGAGTTTGGTCGTAAGTCCTCAGGACCCCGGATTATAGCAGTTTTAGGAATTGGTACGAGCCATTTTCCATAATAGTGGAAAATTTGTGGTAGTTAAAATTGTATTTATTAACTCCAAAATCAAATAAGATATATGAGGCAAAATTAATTTCAAAAATTCAATAGATATTCTATCTACACCAACCGACTTGGATTTAACTTTGTCAATAGCAACTTCAATATCATACATTGTAACACACGAGAAAGAAAATGAATTGTTTGTATCAAGAAAAGGTTCAATGTCAACACTATCATGTCCATCCGACGTCACACTAGAAGCAATGAAATCATTAACAGATTAAGCATCAAAACCATAACCCCAGTACAACCATGTCTTTTAAGTATACCCCAGAAACTCTTAGGATCAAGGTTACGAAATAGCTTTGTGTAATAATTATACCGTTCAGTGCGCATAACTTTCTTTGCCCTATTTCGATACTTGCAATAAACTCTCCACCTTAACGGACATCTGTTTTCTAGATATGCCCTGTAAGAAAAATCCCTTAAAGACTTAGCATTTGCGACATTTCTGGCATTAATCCAATTATCAGCTTGTAATGTAAGATATCTCTTTACAACTGGATCATTGGAGTAAAGGTTTTGAAATAGATTGTTAATAATTTGGCACTTATCATCAGAATTATTGGCTTGATAATAATGCGTATGATCAAAATATGATAAACACTCGAAGATGCCATTCCAATTAATATTTTTAAAATCATGATATTCAATTCTATCATCCACGGCATTCATACTAAAATCAAAACATGCAAATATAAGTGCATGATGCGAAATCGAAGGACATGGAACTTGTCCTGAATAGCACGGCGAACCAATATCACTAAGCTATATAAAATCTATTAGGCTGCTACTACTATGCGCAACATCGAAATGGGTTTTTAATAAAATTGCACGAGTGGGATTAAATAAATCACAATTAAAAACTCCAGCAACTATTATATTAGTATATTTTATAAATAAATTAGGATGTTGTTAAAATGTCTCCTACTGGAGGTAAATAAACCACACCGAACAAAATTGTTACATTGCCGGAATAAATTTCTAAAAATATGGACTCACATTTTCCCATTATTGACGTTTTAAAAACAACTTTATGTTTGAACTTTTTAGATGCTACACCACCCCCTCTGAGACATCGTCGGTCATTTCTGTACATTTTGTAACCGGTAACCTCAACTGCACGATTAGATACCACAGGTTTGAGCCATGTCTCGGAAATGCCAATCGCGACTAATTGTGATCCTGACAAAATTGATTTAAAATCATTAAATTTAAATGAATTAACCGGGGGTCTTATACTTTGGCAATTTATATGTCCAATTCCGAATTTTACATTAAATGGTGTTAAAACAGACTTCAAATACGCACCTTTGCTAACTACCACTAATGTCTAAATTAAAAGACATCAAATTCTGCAAGAGAACAAAACATTGTACTTAAATTTCGAAATTTTTCTTACAGAATTATTTGGTTGAGGATTGAACACAACGAATGATGGTATTCTTTGCCACGGACATTACTGGAGATGTTTATATGAGGATTTAAAGGGGAGAACTGCCGTACAAATATGTACTCTGTAGATAGGAATTGGAGGAAATCGAAGAAATCCTTTTAGATAGCCGAATGATATTCTTCTGCATTTTACTAGAAATAGAAAAATTAACCTTATAGGAAACTTCGGCATTCGCTCCAGTTTGTTAAATATGATATGAAAATCGACAATGATGTTGAGAACAACTGACAGTCTCCATAGACGCTCAACCAAATCTAGTTGTATTGTGGAATTTGCTTTTAATTTTATAAAAACAAAAATAATTAATTATGAATGAAGATGTCAGAATTTTTGGCTAACATTGGTCAATAACAATGTATTTCTTCATAAATTTTGAATTAAATTCTTGTTTAATTTTTTTCTATTTTGCTTTCGACAGCTAATTTGGCATCGAGCTTTTATTATCTGACATTACGATAGCAAGCATTCGATATCGATATCAACTCGATATCGAAACTTATAATTTGACCCCAGGACTTTATGCCATGTTCTGACGGGCAATCGAACAACGTAGTTCGCTCTCAGAATTACGTACATGAATTAACCCGTTCATACAAATTTTCTTAATTCATGTTATCAAATTTTTTATTTCAAACTTTTTGTTTCTAGTTTTACGCCAAAAATAACATATTTACATGAAACACTTTTAATTTTAAAAAAATTAATTCTCTTTCTCCTGACTATAGTATGAACCCATATCTATTTACTTTTAATTCATGTTTTCCATTTTTTTCTGAAAATATTGTTGTTTTCATACATTTTTTATATTTTCTAAATTCAAATGTCATATAAAAATTTGGAGAATTTTTTGACGATGTCCCCAAATTTGTTTCTTGTTTTGTACGCTAATTGAACCATGGGGAAAGAAATTCACATTGCATTATGTTGATAACAAAATTTACATCCTGCTGCATATATAAAAACTAGACAATTTTTTACTTTTCATTCATAATTTTCAATATTACTAAAAAAGTTATATAAAATTTTATAAATATTTTCAAGCTGTCAAAATTAATTTATTTTCGAAATAAAATACTCTCAGTTGTTAGGGATGGGACAAATTTCTTGGTGATTCAGAGAGTGCATCGAATTGAACAATACAAAAGTCGGTGTTCGCTGAAAAATTTTGTATGTACATACTATATATTAAAAATAATTAAGGGTCGAACAACGAATGAGAGAGCGAACAACGCTCGTCTGTACATGGCATTAAACAATCGTAATCAAACGATTACCAATAAAAAAAAACTTCATGACAACAACAAGAAGTAGTGCACGAAGGCCAAATTTCTCTTTAGTCAAAACTAAATTTTCGGAAATGTAATAATTTGCCCTCTGCCCATATAAATACTATTTCCCAAATACTTTTAATTTTAAAAATATTATTTATATATTAATTGAGATATTCCATTGACTTACCTAACAGTGCTTGGAATAGTCTTGATTTAAATATGCGTATGACACGTTCAATGGCAATTCTTAGGGCACGATCTTGAGGTTCTGACAGTCTCGAATGGTAGTCCTCCAAAAGCTCAAGAGCTCTGTGGGCCTCTGTAACGACAAATAAGACAAAACAATTTAGACAATATAAAACTAGGTTTTCTGTTTTTTTTTATAAAAAAGGAGAATAAAATAAACGTTCTTTATAAAATTAAACCTAAATCTGTTTACTTTTCTCTGGTGGTATTTCATCAAAACTTGCAATTTCGCTAGCCTGGCCAAATATCGTCGACCAATAACCACGCTCAGCGGCAGCAGCATTTGCTGCCATATTACGTGAATTACGTTGATCCATTGTTTCGATTAACAAATCGAAACGATTCAATTGATCGCGTAAACTTTCCGAAATAGCTTGATTATATTGTTGTGGTTTAGCATCACCCCCACCCCCATCGTCCATCTTGGAATCTTCATTAACAGCAGATGATGGTAAACTATCTGATTTTTCAAAATAACCTGATTCCTGGTTATCAGTGGGGGGCTTAGCAGCTGCATCTAAATGTATATCAACTGCCGAATGATATAAATCCAATGAATCCTTGGGTATATTTCGTATGCCAATTGGACATTTCGAGCTAAAGGAATTTCGTTTTGGTTTGATGTTGTCAGGTTCTGGAATTTTGTCACATTCAAGAGATCTGAGATTCTCTTGATCCCGCTGCTGCTCATCCTCCTGTTGTTCGCAACTTGAAAAATACAAGTCTTTTGAACTACCGAAATATTTGTTGAGATTTGGTGATTTACTGTTGCCACTGCCACCAAGATTTCCCCCCATCATGTCCATGGATTTGCTCATTTTAAAATTAAACGAAAGACTTGAGCTACGTCCCTTGACGGTGGCTATTTTATAGGGTGGACTTATTTGATGGTGATCACTTGCAATTGAAAGACTGCGTATAAAATTCAAATCATTTATGCTGTCCGTGGCGCCCAATATGGCCTCATCTTGGCTGTGATAAGCTGTGGGACTATCCAAAGACAGCTTTTCAATGGGTAAGATTATTTTCTCGTCACCCGACTCGGCCGATTCGAAACTTGTCAATTCATGTATACCAGTTTTGGATTGAACCTTCTGATCGAACCATTCGCGATCACTTTCCATCGATTCGGCATGAATGAAAAATAAATCATTAAAGCTGCCGAATGGTCGATTTACCCGTTCTCTTTTATTTTTTTGGAATATTTCCATAGATTTACTGCTCGGCATAGTTAAATTAATTTTGTCTAGTTTGTTGGGAATTTGTAGTGTTTCCGATGAGCTGACATTGAAATCTTGCGATGGTTCACTTAGTTTTTTTGTTGGAGTAGTGTCCACAGATGTGTCGTTGTAGTCCTTATCCTGCAAGGAGAGCAAACTTTCACCAATTGGTGTTTTAAGTCCGTCATCTTCGGGACTTAGTTGTAGTGGAGTTTTAAGGTTATCCTCCTCATCGTCTGAGTTACATGCCAGCGAAATTCGATGTGCTTGTTCATTTTGTTCAGCGTTTTGAATGGACGATGGGGATTCTTCTTCATTGGAATTTTCAGTATCTCCACTTTCCTCTTCCCTGGGGGCACCACCTCCTTGTTTTTTAACATTTTCACTTTCAAAGCTGTGCAAACTCAGATCAAATGAAACTCTACGTTTAGTTTGATTCCCAGTATTATCGATGGCGATGGAATTTAAATCGGTAGAGCTTCCAAAATGTTTAGATTTTTTGAGAATTGCTGCAATTTCCATGGATTTGCTGCCGGTTAGAATAACTATGGGATTTGTACTTGCAGTGATTGTGAGGAGTTTATTGGAATTGCTGGATATTTCGATTGTGTTGTCTAGAGTACTTTCCTTTTTATCGGTAACTTTTTCCCGTTGGTTGTCGGTTTCCAAATCATCTTTTGCTAATGTTTGTATGTCCAATGAACTGTCGCATTTGGTTATTAGCTTTCCATCGCTTGATTGCTCCTCCATCCGTTTAGCTAACGGTTCTGGTGTACTTATGGAATGTTTGAGATTTTCAGCAGGTGTTTGAAGCGTATTCATATTTACAATGGGTTTCGAAATGTCCTCCTCTTCGTGAATCTCTGGAATATTTTCTATTGGTTCGGAAATTGTTGGAATTTCATCATCTTCAAGTTTTAGACTTTCTGTTGACACAGGAATATTAGTTACAGATTCCATTGCCTGGAAATCTTCGTTCAAGGTCATATTTTCCCTTTGTTCCTTTTTCTCCTGCTTATGATTGTCGGGTTCCTTGCTCGATTTCCCTTCAATGACCTTTAACATTTTACTTGAACCCTGATTATTTGCAACAATATGCATTATGCCATCGCCATCATCACCATCTTTATCTTTATCATTGTTTTCATGTAATTGACACTGAACAGCTGTAGTAGCACCACCAGCACCAGGCGTATTATCGATTTCTTGCTGGGGAATTTCTATGGTTTCATTGCAAAGATTTTCATGTGACAAATCACTAATCAGTTGCATAGAATCATCTTTGGAGAGGGAGGCGGCAGCGGCAACAGCAACTACAACTGGATTAACTTCATCTATGGAAGAGGATATAGCTCCATGCTCATTGGCCAATAATTCACATGCCTCCTCATCATTCTCATCGTCATCGGAATCATCATCAAATTTATCAGCTTCATCTTCCGATGAAGATGAATTGGTGGTATATCTTAAAGTCGATTTTTTGCTTTTGGATTTTGGTAATAAAGATTCCTTTTCAGTATCTGTTTCATCCGATTCGTCCATTTTTTGTTATGTTTATCCTTTCGAAATTGCTGCTGGGAAAAATGTTGTTTCAGCTTTCAAAGTCCGACTTGAACTGAATTTGAGAAGGCATTAAAATAATGGCAAATTTTGTTTTTGCCCACAATATGAAAATGAACAAAAATCAATAGTTTTTTTGTTGGTTTTGTTGTTGTTTTTCTCGTTGTTGTCTACCTATCCATCTATCCATTTATCCACCACCACTACTACTCTTGCCTCGTGCTCTTCTTACATTTTTATTTATCGGACCACCAGCATTCGGCTTTTGGCCCTAGTGCTTGGCTTGAGCGTTTAACGCTCTTGTAATATAAATTGACAGCTAAATTATCACACAAAAAAGAAAAAAACCTATTACAAGTATTAATTTATATATTTTTTTTTATACATTATTTTTAAGAGTTAATATAACACAATGTTACAGAATTAATGAAGTAAATGTTAACCAGAGTTTTTTGGTTCTTATCGAGGAAATTAGGTAGTTATAAAATAAATAACTTATTCAGTGTCCGGTATGAGCCCTTATTTTTAGAAGAATACACAATTTATTATTTTTGGCGAAGTAAAAGCCAAATGGCTACAACTCTAGTCGAGATCTCCGAGTCAAATCTCTTAGTCTTGATTCCAAAAGAAGACCAAAAGCTGATGGTATCAACGCGCAAGATGTCCAGTAGACAGGGACCTACAGTGGCACTTAAAAACTACAGCTTCGATGGTAATTTGTGAGTTAATTGACTTATCATTTGTAGATCCGGACACAATTATGATTGATTGTTGATGATTGAGCTTAAAAAGAGCAAATCTGTGAAGAAAATCATTTAGACATGTGGCCGTTGAGCAGCCTTTTCTATAGGCAGAGCCTTAATCATCTCATGTGTAATCCTGTCCTGTCCACTCGCAGATCCGTTTTTCCTCGAAGCCAAAACAAATTTTCAAAATTATCAAAGTCAAATATGATCCTCTCACATACACTTTCTTCGTCCAGATTTTGCTTATCCTGAGGGGTACCATCTGGAACTTCACTATAAAAAAAAACTAATAATATTAGGTTTGAAATAAACAAAACTAATAATATTAGGTTTGAAATGCGGAGAAGAATAGTGTTGGCCAACAGATGCTACCATGGTCTGAGTAAGCAACTCAAAAGCGAGGTCACCTCTCACTAGACCAAACTCACAATCTGAGAAGACACTGATACTACCCGTGATGCTATATGGATCTGAAGCATGGGTACTTGCGCAAGCAGCTCTTGGAATGTTTGAGAGAAAAATTCTCCAGAAGATCTATGGGCCGATCTGCGTTGACGTTGAATATCGCTGTCGAATGAACCATGAGTTGTACCATCTATTCAGGACATCGACATAGTCAGACTTATCGAGCTGCAGCGACTACGTTAGTTAGGTCATGGGTGGGATATTTCTAATGACCATTTCAGATACCATTTCTGTCCAACTGAGCTCACACCAAGGGTCTTGATGTAAACCTCACTAAGGAAGAATTGGTGCTCTTCACTAGGAAACGGAAGATTCCTAAGAAAGGACTGATAGCACTCTACTCTTGCAAGAACTCCATAGGAAAGAGCTGGGAACTAAGACCAGAGATCATACACTGGCTGTATGTGACTCTCCCCATTCTTACATATGGTTGCCTTGTATGGTGGCGGGGGGTTAAAAAATATGCTGCTGACGAAATTAAATTCGGTACAGCGATCGGATTCGATCCTGACTACCAGAGCGCTAAGAAGCACACTGCAGGCAGCCTTGAATGCGATCTTGAATCTCCAACAGTAGCAACCGAGAAATGGATGCCTGGAAATCGCTGAACTATGGTCACGCTAGTATCCTCAACATAACCCCAGGTTGTGAGTTCTTGAGGAGAAATACTCACATTAGTGACTATGTTCCCTCTCATAGAGGCATTAATGACATCAGAGCATATTTTCCTAGTAGGGAATCCTGGACTAGTGGCCAGCTCTGTCATTTTTCACAGACGGGTAAAAAGTGGAGGAAGGCACTGATGCAGGCGTTTACCGTAGGAAATTAGAAATATACAACTCATATAAACTTAACAATTTTTGTAGCGTTTTTCAAGCAGAAATCCTTGCAAAGCGGTCGAGGTAGTCAAAACACGGGACCGGTGACGATAATACGGGACCGGTGACTATATATGTCGATAGCCTGGCGGTCCTCAAGGCTTTGAAGTCGTGCACTATAAACTCAAAAGCAGTTCTTGATTGCAAGTTCGCTCTGAAAGAAATACGACGGCTAGTTAATTTATGTTGGTTTACAGGACCTAGCAACATAGAAGGGAACGAGATAGCCCTGACGAGCTTGCTCGGGGGGTCCCATAGTCGTCCAATGTTCCGATTGATGGGACGAATGGGACTACAGCGGAGAGGATTACTGTCGTCTATGTTTGGACGAAGAAGAGCTAGAAACAATTGAACATATCCTCTGTAGATGTCCATCGCTGAGTTGCAGAAGACACGAACAGTTTGAAGATATAATATTGATAATCTAGCGTTCTTCTCCAAAATAGACCCCATTCAGATCCTAGGCTTTGTAAAAAAATAACCACCTCTAGGCTCTCTTTCTTCTACTATTTTCTTCGCTCTTCCACTCTTTGATCACATTGGACAATAGTCTCCGAGTGAACGGTTGTTACTAACAACCGTACATCCCTAACCTAACCTAGGTCATGTTGTGAGCTCAAAAGGTATATAAAAGCGAGCCGACTGATGGTTCACGCAGAAGGGGAATGCCACGAATTCGATGAAAAGATCAAGTAGAAGATAACATCTCGGAAAATGGTATTTCAAATTGGATGAGATGCGCACAAGACCGACGCGCTTAGAAAGATCTTGATATAATGCATATACCTACAGAATGAGACCCAAAAATACAACCGATAACCCCAAAATCAACAGGCTTATCGACAACTGTCAAGGCAAACACGAGGGATGTTGGGGAGATTGAAAATAACTGTTCACTTCATTTACTACCACAACAATAAGTCAAACTTCAAATCTCAATCCCTCATTTGATATTCTATTCCTCTTTTTATACGATTCAAGGCTATGTAATTCAATATCTTTGTATGATAGTGTCATTTTTGACCATAATTATGTTCTTAAGGGTTAAATTATTATTATTTATTTTATTTTTTTTTTTTTTACTTTTATCCCTTCGAACAATGCATTTTACAATTTTCTTACCATGCCTTCGTCTTTCCTATTAGACGACTAAGGACGGCGGCGTTGAGGATGGTATACAAGTTGTTTTAATAAAAACATGTCGTAAATAAAAGAGGCAGTATTTATAGATATTAAAAAATGAAAGAAAAGAAAATAGCATTGAAACAAGTAAGGGACAACACACAAAAAAAAATTATAGAAACATTTTTTGTTTTGTTTTTGTATTCGGACTGGGCCAGCTATGATATTCTTTCTAAAGAATAATCTGGTGTACGGCGGCGATATGAAACAATAGAAGAGGAAGAAGCAATGGCAACACAACAGCCACAGCTAAATATTTGTACATCTAACACTTTTTGGCATGGATCCAGGGGTACCCGAAATACCAACAATAACAAATCAACCAACCGACTGACCGTTCCTCAGCAATAATAAAAACCATAAAAATCACTTAAGTTGTTGTTATTGTTGTAGCTGATGTTTGGTTCTATGACCAAATGAAAGAAATGACAACAACAAGAGATGAGCAGACATCAGTACATTATTCAGCAGTTGAGGCCGACAATATTAGCTGCTATATCAATCAAAATTATAAGTTCGGGGCAATGCTTCTACCACTGCTATGTGAGTTTATTAACAACATTTAATCCAAAGGGGTTTCGAATAATAATAGGCAAATAATTCTATATATTATATGAGTTGAAAATTAATAAACCTAATTTAGAAGGGCAGGATTAAGAAGAAATACACAGCAGTACAAGCTGCTACAACAATAAAAATATACTGAGTCGAATATTGCAAGCGGTAACAGCCACCTTTGAACGAATTGAGCAGTCTGCCAAAGTGGGATTGGCAGTAAATGGCGAGAAGGCCAAGTTTATGGTATCAACGCGCAAGATGTCCAGTGGACACGGACCGAAAACTACAGCTTTGGTGATGATCTGAGGGTTGATTGAATTATCATTTAGTAGCCTTGTCAATTTGTCGATCCGGACACAATTATAGGCATTGTTGATGTCTAGTGGTAACACCATCACCTTATAATTATTGGCCTTCAAGAGAGCAACTCTGTGAAAAAAATAATTTGGACATGTGACCGTTGAGCAGCCTTTTCTATAGGTGTATGAACTCCAACTTCTTCTTTTCCAAATCTTCCAACAGAAAATCCTTCATCATAAGATTGATGCACTTTATAAAAACCGAAAACGAAACAAGCAGCTCTTGAAGTGTTTGTGAGAAAAATTCTGCGGAAAATCTTTGGGCCGATCTGCGTCGACGGTGAATATCATCGTAGAATGAACCATGAGCTGTACCATCTATACTCGACAACGACATAGTCATGACGTATCGAGCGAAGTATGTCACCGTCCATTGAAAATTGAAGTTTACAAGTCTTATGAAAAATCGTCGAAATTTGAAATCGAAAATGGCAACACATGATGACTAGACTAGATTAACTATGGAAGTAGTAAACTATTGAATTTCAATAAATTAAAAATAATAAAAGTGGGGAAATTATGTTGGCCCAATAAGAGAACCAATTCAAAGGTTATTTCAACACCTAATGTTTTTGGCTATAGGGTGTATAAACACAAGAAACAAATTTGAGTAAAATATGCAAAATCAGAAAAACATATATAAACAAAATATACCTACACACATATACACACAAATAATAATAATATGCATACATGTGGATGATGGATGAATAGTACCTTCTCCTCGTGCTCCTTCTGCCAGACAGTGTCTGTATTGTCATTTGTTCAGGCGAAATTGAAAAATTCATTTCATGTGATGCGGCGACGGCGACAGTTCTCGATTCTATTCTATAGCTAGCTCTTAGCCTAATATTAAACACACACAGATATTTAAAAGAACAAAAATGAAAAAAGTCGACAATAATAAATTAAACAAAAAACAAGCAAAAAAACACAAAAACAAAAAATTCAAATATTTACCTTGCTTTTTTACTGGCATATTTATGGCGTCTAAATTTAATGGTGAATAGCGAACTAAATTAACTTCAGGATGGTGAGATACACACAGCAGCTTTTGTGGAGGGAATTTCTTGCCCGCTGTGGCCAGTATTTCGGCGTGAGCGTTTGTGTACTTTTTTTCTCAGCTTCTAGGATGACCGATATCTACGATGATAATGATGATTATAGTGGTTGGTGGTGGTGGCTTTGGTGTAATTTCAATGATGATTTCTTGGGTTTGGACTCGTTACACAGTAGCAAAGTAGTAGCAGAAGTAGCAAGGGTTTTGTTTGCAGTTAAATATTCTGTGAAAATAAAATTTAAGTTGTTTTGTTTTGAATTAAATTTTGTTAACACCCTTTTATTTTTGATTTCTAATTTCAAATAATATGATGACACATTTCTCTAAAAATACTCAAATATCTTGTCTCGCAAATTATTTAGCAGCAATAGTATTTAACACAGCGTGAACTACAACAGCAATAGATAGGCAAATAAATATTTCATGAATTATTGTTGGTATTTCGTTTTATTTTTTGTAGTGTTTTTTATTTTTTAATTTGATTTGATTGAAAACTAAATGTTGAAATACATAGACAGTAAAGTTCATTTGTTCGTAAGCCGTAGACAAATGTACCAAATTCATCTGATAGATAATAGGGCTACAGTAAGCTCAAGCGAATAAAACGTAATTCTGACTACTCTCTGACGGTGAAAAAATATAAGTCGAGCAACATTACAGGAACCACAAGGAACAAAGACAAGAAAGTCGTCTGGACAATGATCAAAACTACCAGTAGCTCAGTTCTTCAACATACCGTCGTATTGTTGTAGTTGCATCAATCCTACTGCTCAAAACTGGATATGACATTATTCAATATTCATACTCAGTGCAAAAAAACATTATACCGAACAATGTACTTCGCATCTGCATCATGGAGTAAGGATAGTGTCAATTAAGTCAGATAACGTCTTGTTATGGGTACGACAGGATCGTTCTTTTATTGATGTTTATATATTTTGATTGTTTCGACTTTTTTGTGTGTAACTCAGAAATTCGAGTTACACACAAAAAATTTCCAAGAAATAACTAATCGAATCGTGAACAAAAACTTTTTAAAAAAGGCGGAACTGGGGACCAACAAAGGTGCTAAATTCTTTTGATTCGAATGGATCGAATTGACTGTTTTTGAACCTGTGCACAAGATACAAAATTATGAGTTATCTTCACAATACTTTGAAGATAACTCATTCTTTGGTATATCTGTGGTTGTGATATTAAATGGCGCCCAACGTAAAAATTTAGACCAGCAGATACCTGTTTGTAGTCTTTCTCGACTAATACTGGTGTGGCTACCTTGGCACCCTCAGTCTCGAATTGTACAAGGTTAGATTTCAATGAACCCCCAAACATGTTGAGGACCCAAGCTAATCCCCTGGACCTCACTTTTGCCTCTTTTGTTATTCTTGACAACGTGAACGAAAGCCTGGAGAGACAAACAGATCTTCTCCTCAATTTATTACTCCTTCCGCATTAGTCAGTAGAGCATCCCGAATCAACTCTGGGACGACTCACTCTTGTCAGACGAAGAATACATCAGTGATTAACTCTACGATGACGAACTCGGTAGGTATCCTGGTGTCTTCTCCGAAGCAAGGTGAGATGATGAGCATCCAGATGAGGAGGGTAAGGAACTGTGAAAGTCAGGCACAACCTCCACCCTCTGTGGAATTGTCGAGACCGATATCCAAGGTTGTGACAATTGGGCAGTTGTTGGTGGATGCGCCAAAGGTAGCGAGCGCGAAGCAGGTGCCTGCGTCCGTTGGACCTATCTCTACGGCGATTGTGACCTTGGGAGATGAATCTCGATCACAGCCCACATCTGTGAAGAGAATGCGGCCCTCGGAGGGAAGACAACCTGCTGCTAAGAGACCTACGCAGTCGTCAGTTGCACAAAGTTCTGCTTCGCTCGCGTCGTTAGTAGTGTCGAAGGAGAAACCTGCTAAGAGCGATAAGGTTGTGGTGAAAGCCAAACCCGCCGTCTCGAAGCAGGTAGCCCAGAAGCCTAGCGAATCTGCTGTTCCACAGGAGGTAATGGATGATCTGCGATTAGCAATCATGGATCGAGCTGACCCTGACGGGATTATCAGTGACGATAAATGGTTGCTAGTCGATAGCTACTTGAAGGACCTCTTCCTATCCGACGAAGTTGATCAACGAAACCTACGGTTTGGCCAGATAACCTTATACAAAGGGGTCAATGTTGTTAATTGTCGAACTGAGGAATCTTCCTAAAGAAGACAATAGACTTATTGTAAGGGTTTTCCACACTGTGATCGCTTCATACCCTAACAGACCTGCGAGTATAAACGCAAAGGACTTATACACCAAGTTATAAATGAAATTGTGGTAAAACTTTCCACATTTACGTGTCCGGACAGTATTAAAATGCTCTTCAAAGTGTCAATGATTTCAATTCAGATTTCAGTATTGTCCAAAGTCCTAATATCGGGAGATGAAGGAAAACACAAGACAATTGGGCTATATTCTGCGACTTGCATTTCTTGACATCCCGACAATTTAAAGGCTTATTAGCAGAAAATGTGGGATCTTTATATGACAAAAAATCTGAGAAACGGAGTTTTTTTTAATTATGACCACATCGGATGAAAAGTTCCGATAGGAGCATCAAAATGCTTTAACTGAGGCATGGCGATCTTTTAACTAATGAGACATGGGGGTTATGATGCATAGACTAGTGGTTGTTCACTTTCCGGGAACAAGTCTAGCTTAGGGCCCTGATAAAAATATAATATTCTTATCAAATAAGTTTACACATTCTTAGATATGGGTCTCCAAAAACGCTATTGCCTCAGTAAAAACCGTTTGAAAACAGTGAGAAAATATAAGGGTGCCAACGGAACTTTGGAGGCTCATATCTCCGGAAATACCGATTTCCGCAAGCAAAAAGTATACCGTTGTAATCAAGACCCCAAGGACTACATGTGGTAAAAATTTCAAAGCGATCCTCAAAGGGGGCCCTAAACTAGACTTAAGTCAAATCCTCAAATACAGTATTTTCGTCTACCAATAGTAAAATTTCCGAGAATGCGTGGACCGATATATCTCCTTTTCAGTACCCAACTCCTTGTCTTTTATCAACTACCAGCATGAGGAAATATTAAAAAAGAATCACCAACATGTTTGCCAATGTAAACACTACTTGATTAAAATAATTAAAAATTCTATAAATTCCTTTTGTTTCTATAAAAAATGATTTCTTATCCTTGTTTATATTTTATCAGACTCATTCATACATGACCCGATAGAGCACTCACACAAACATTTCTACAACCCATGCAAAAACTAAACTCTCGATTCATTTGAAAAAAAAAACCAAAACAAATTAGCTGAGTAATTGAATTTCGTAGATGCATGTATGTTCATGTTTCACTAATTAATAATTGTTGATGAATGTTTCATTTCGTTTCACTTTTCGCATAAATTTATGTTATTTTTCCTTGCAGTTTATTTGACGTTTAGCCGCTTACAACACATTATATTTAATTTTTTTTGTTCTTAAGCTCATCGCTCGTGTATATGATGATGATGGTTGTGAAGTAGAACAAGAAATATGGATGTTTGTTGCCGCAACAGAACCAACCAGCCAGACGACACACATTTGCACTCCCTTTATTTGTATAGGTACATAATGTGGAATCTCTCGCCCATAGAATATAGAGCAGAGAATGAAAAAAAAACAAGAAAAACAACACAGAGCACTTTCTTACTCGTCGCACATACACACATTTTACATTTTGTATCTATTATTTTGGCATCTTATAAGATAATTTCTTATTATTTCTTTGCTATTTTGTTGTTTTTTTCTTTTTGAATATTAATTATGCTGTTATTGTTGTTGTTCCGTTTGTGCCCTCTAAACTTTTTAAGGTTTCTGATTAATTGCAAGCGAATTCTTATTGTAATCCTTTTCGTTTTTTATTTTATAAATTGTATGTACCCTTCACCTTCACTCGTTTTAGCACGTATTGTTTTTTATTTTGTTTTTTAATTCGTTTAGATTTTTTGCTCGCAGGTATTTTTTCACGGAACTCTTTTATTTATAGTATAGCCTATGAGGGCATTGTTTGTACTTTAATGCAACCACTTCAATAATGTTTTATTTTACTTATTTTTCAATTAAAAAATTATTTAATCTCCACAATGCAGAGAACCGAGTCATACTGAATGTAATGGTTTTGACGGCGCTGTTTAGCGAGAGAGAGAGAGCGAGTGTATTTATAACGCCGTTTGCAACGCTGATGGAAAAATGTTTCAACCAACTTGGTAGTTCAGCTGTCAATGTCATTAAGTTTATATATAGTTTATGCATGTGAATTATTTAGATCTAGAGCATATATTTTTGGGGTCTGTTCCCGTACTGGAATGGTATTTATGGTAAAAGCGGATTTACATATAACATCTAATCATGATTAAAGGCTGAATCAGGGGTTATTTTCGTAATCAGGCTAAATTTACCATGGTTTATCATCGTGCGGCAGAGTTTATTTTAAATCATGATCGAAATCACGATACTACTGAAATGCAAGGCGGTTTTTGTACGAAAAAATACAACTCTCTCACAATGTACCAAAATCTGCAACAGTTTGTTTTTAAATTTAACGGTTGCCAAATACAAAAATGAAAGACCAAAGGAAAATACAAATTATTTATAGAGTTTTTCCTTTGTATGTGTATGTTTTTACTAACGATCACAGCATCGTAAAAACATTTCCATTGTTGTAATTCTTGTTTTTCATTATTTTTAAATTGCGAACACATATTTTTGGCGCAAATTAACAATTTTGTATGTATAGTAACAAACATCAGCTAATCGGTATTTAGATCATGATTAAAGGTACGTGTAAACAATTAGGGTGTATTCTGGATTTCGTTAATCGAGTCGATTAAAAATCGTATATGTAAATGTATTTTAACACAAGCAACAAAACCATTGTTCCTTCTCGAGAAAAATTTGCGGACGTGTTGAACATCATGCCAATTTTTTCCTTGAGTAAAGCGAATGATAGATTGAGGGATAATTAGCTGATTATTTTAATTTATTTCATGTTCAGATAACCGAGCTAAAATAACAGTATATGTTACAAAAAATCACTTAACCTAAACTACACACCTCATAGAGAGTATTGCTACGTTTAGATTACTAAATCCACTCGATATCAAATGTCAATTCCATTGCGTTTACGTCACGTTAATCCTGTTCACAAATCCAGTGAATTGTGTTTGACGTATAAGCTATGGAATTGACATTTGATATCGAGTGGATTTAGTAATCTAAACGTAGCAATACTCTCTATGAGGTGTGTAGTTTAGGTTAAGTGATTTTTTGTAACATATACTGTTATTTTAGCTCGGTTATCTGAACATGAAATAAATTAAAATAATCAGCTAATTATCCCTCAATCTATCATTCGCTTTACTCAAGGAAAAAATTGGCATGATGTTCAACACGTCCGCAAATTTTTCTCGAGAAGGAACAATGGTTTTGTTGCTTGTGTTAAAATACATTTACATATACGATTTTTAATCGACTCGATTAACGAAATCCAGAATACACCCTAATTGTTTACACGTACCTTTAATCATGATCTAAATACCGATTAGCTGATGTTTGTTACTATACATACAAAATTGTTAATTTGCGCCAAAAATATGTGTTCGCAATTTAAAAATAATGAAAAACAAGAATTACAACAATGGAAATGTTTTTACGATGCTGTGATCGTTAGTAAAAACATACACATACAAAGGAAAAACTCTATAAATAATTTGTATTTTCCTTTGGTCTTTCATTTTTGTATTTGGCAACCGTTAAATTTAAAAACAAACTGTTGCAGATTTTGGTACATTGTGAGAGAGTTGTATTTTTTCGTACAAAAACCGCCTTGCATTTCAGTAGTATCGTGATTTCGATCATGATTTAAAATAAACTCTGCCGCACGATGATAAACCATGGTAAATTTAGCCTGATTACGAAAATAACCCCTGATTCAGCCTTTAATCATGATTAGATGTTATATGTAAATCCGCTTTTACCATAAATACCATTCCAGTACGGGAACAGACCCCAAAAATATATGCTCTAGATCTAAATAATTCACATGCATAAACTATATATAAACTTAATGACATTGACAGCTGAACTACCAAGTTGGTTGAAACATTTTTCCATCAGCGTTGCAAACGGCGTTATAAATACACTCGCTCTCTCTCTCTCGCTAAACAGCGCCGTCAAAACCATTACATTCAGTATGACTCGGTTCTCTGCATTGTGGAGATTAAATAATTTTTTAATTGAAAAATAAGTAAAATAAAACATTATTGAAGTGGTTGCATTAAAGTACAAACAATGCCCTCATAGGCTATACTATAAATAAAAGAGTTCCGTGAAAAAATACCTGCGAGCAAAAAATCTAAACGAATTAAAAAACAAAATAAAAAACAATACGTGCTAAAACGAGTGAAGGTGAAGGGTACATACAATTTATAAAATAAAAAACGAAAAGGATTACAATAAGAATTCGCTTGCAATTAATCAGAAACCTTAAAAAGTTTAGAGGGCACAAACGGAACAACAACAATAACAGCATAATTAATATTCAAAAAGAAAAAAACAACAAAATAGCAAAGAAATAATAAGAAATTATCTTATAAGATGCCAAAATAATAGATACAAAATGTAAAATGTGTGTATGTGCGACGAGTAAGAAAGTGCTCTGTGTTGTTTTTCTTGTTTTTTTTTCATTCTCTGCTCTATATTCTATGGGCGAGAGATTCCACATTATGTACCTATACAAATAAAGGGAGTGCAAATGTGTGTCGTCTGGCTGGTTGGTTCTGTTGCGGCAACAAACATCCATATTTCTTGTTCTACTTCACAACCATCATCATCATATACACGAGCGATGAGCTTAAGAACAAAAAAAATTAAATATAATGTGTTGTAAGCGGCTAAACGTCAAATAAACTGCAAGGAAAAATAACATAAATTTATGCGAAAAGTGAAACGAAATGAAACATTCATCAACAATTATTAATTAGTGAAACATGAACATACATGCATCTACGAAATTCAATTACTCAGCTAATTTGTTTTGGTTTTTTTTTTCAAATGAATCGAGAGTTTAGTTTTTGCATGGGTTGTAGAAATGTTTGTGTGAGTGCTCTATCGGGTCATGTATGAATGAGTCTGATAAAATATAAACAAGGATAAGAAATCATTTTTTATAGAAACAAAAGGAATTTATAGAATTTTTAATTATTTTAATCAAGTAGTGTTTACATTGGCAAACATGTTGGTGATTCTTTTTTAATATTTCCTCATGCTGGTAGTTGATAAAAGACAAGGAGTTGGGTACTGAAAAGGAGATATATCGGTCCACGCATTCTCGGAAATTGTACTATTGGTAGACGAAAATACTGTATTTGAGGATTTGACTTAAGTCTAGTTTAGGGCCCCCACGAGGATCGCTTTGAAATTTTTACCACATGTAGTCCTTGGGGTCTTGATTACAACGGTATACTTTTTGCTTGCGGAAATCGGTATTTCCGGAGATATGGGCCTCCAAAGTTCCGTTGGGACCCTTATATTTTCTCACTGTTTTCAAACGGTTTTTACTGAGGCAATAGCGTTTTTGGAGACCCATATCTAAGAATGTGTAAACTTATTTGATAAGAATATTATATTTTTATCAGGGCCCTAAGCTAGACTTGTTCCCGGAAAGTGAACAACCACTAGTCTATGCATCATAACCCCCATGTCTCATTAGTTAAAAGATCGCCATGCCTCAGTTAAAGCATTTTGATGCTCCTATCGGAACTTTTCATCCGATGTGGTCATAATTAAAAAAAACTCCGTTTCTCAGATTTTTTGTCATATAAAGATCCCACATTTTCTGCTAATAAGCCTTTAAATTGTCGGGATGTCAAGAAATGCAAGTCGCAGAATATAGCCCAATTGTCTTGTGTTTTCCTTCATCTCCCGATATTAGGACTTTGGACAATACTGAAATCTGAATTGAAATCATTGAGACTTTGAAGAGCATTTTAATACTGTCCGGACACGTAAATGTGGTAAAGTTTTACCACAATTTCATTTATAACTTGGTGTATAAGTCCTTTGCGTTTATACTCGCAGGTCTGTTAGGGTATGAAGCGATCACAGTGTGGAAAACCCTTACAATAAGTCTATTGTCTTCTTTAGGAAGATTCCTCAGTTCGACAATTAACAACATTGACCCCTTTGTATAAGGTTATCTGGCCAAACCGTAGGTTTCGTTGATCAACTTCGTCGGATAGGAAGAGGTCCTTCAAGTAGCTATCGACTAGCAACCATTTAAATTTAAAAACAGTTTGTTTTTAAATTTAACGGTTGCCAAATACAAAAATGAAAGACCAAAGGAAAATACAAATTATTTATAGAGTTTTTCCTTTGTATGTGTATGTTTTTACTAACGATCACAGCATCGTAAAAACATTTCCATTGTTGTAATTCTTGTTTTTCATTATTTTTAAATTGCGAACACATATTTTTGGCGCAAATTAACAATTTTGTATGTATAGTAACAAACATCAGCTAATCGGTATTTAGATCATGATTAAAGGTACGTGTAAACAATTAGGGTGTATTCTGGATTTCGTTAATCGAGTCGATTAAAAATCGTATATGTAAATGTATTTTAACACAAGCAACAAAACCATTGTTCCTTCTCGAGAAAAATTTGCGGACGTGTTGAACATCATGCCAATTTTTTCCTTGAGTAAAGCGAATGATAGATTGAGGGATAATTAGCTGATTATTTTAATTTATTTCATGTTCAGATAACCGAGCTAAAATAACAGTATATGTTACAAAAAATCACTTAACCTAAACTACACACCTCATAGAGAGTATTGCTACGTTTAGATTACTAAATCCACTCGATATCAAATGTCAATTCCATTGCGTTTACGTCACGTTAATCCTGTTCACAAATCCAGTGAATTGTGTTTGACGTATAAGCTATGGAATTGACATTTGCGATCGAGTGGATTTCCTAAATCTAAACTACCTTATGTTGCACGAGTCACCGATGTTACTTCCAGATAGGCCATAACAACTTATAAATATAATATTTTCATATTGTGGCTTATTATGTCGAATTGTGTGACTCTGCGTGTAATGTTTTGAAAAATATAACAGTGAAGTGAAAAACTAGATAGACGACATTTTTCCGGTCGTTCATTTTACAGAATCATTATATTGAACTAGTTTCCCCCTATGCCTTACACCTTATTCGTAAATTTTCCGTTTTTCCATTTTCAGTTCCTTTTTATCGGTCATTTCTTCATCTCCCCCCATTTGGTGGCAGGTGGAACGCTTTTAGTTTTTCTTTACTTTGTATGAGTAACCTCCAAAACACAGTACTCTCTCTACGCTCTGTCGAATCTCAGTTAAAAAAATAAAGAAAATTTGTGCAAATAATTGATTAAAATGCCACAATTCATTAAACAATAAAGAAAATCAAGTGAAAATATTGAAAACTCATTGAAATATTGCGAAAACAATCGGAGGAGGCTGGTTAAAATGATGCAAGGTATGGTACACACACATTTTCTTCTACGCCACATAAATGTTGAGTATGTGCTCTGTGAGACAGCCAGCCATCCATACATCCATCCAGTGAGACCCGTGAGAGAAGATACAATTGCAGAGTGTTAGGTTGTTGGTAACTGCTGCTGCTGTTGTTGTTTGCTGGCTGGCTGCCTTGCCTGGCCATCCATAGAGAGTGTAGTGTATGTGTTGTTTTTGTGGGTGCGAGCGTGAATGTGTGTGCGGCGGGGGTACTACAATGAAATAATGTATCTACTACTATGACCGACAATTGATTCATCACAAGATATTAAAAACAACATTTTATTCCTATCTAAGCTAAGCGAACGGACGGACTCCAAGCAAGCAACCGACCAACAAATAAGTTGATTTGACGTGTGTGTCGTGCTCTGATCGTTCGTTGATTGCGGAACAAAAATATTTCAAATATTTGCTTGTCTAAGCCAAGTGTAAGTGTTTATCTAAACAATAACAAGTAAAACAAACGGACGTTCAATCGGTCGGTCGGTCTGCTAGTCGGATAAACGGCATAACAACTCAACAACGGTAAAGTGAATTTATCTGCAATCAAAAATTTTCGCTCGTATCTTGGAAATAATCAACAGTAGCAACACCAACAGCGGCATCAACATCTATCCAGATAACAGCAACAGAACAATCGCTGTCGAGTGTGATCTGTTTTGTCCCCATCATCGTCATCGTTGTTGCTTGCTCGTCGCTCCGTGTACTGTGACATTTAAATACAAATACTCGCACACACACACATATTATTTAGTGGAGAAGCAAAATTACAAATAGAGTGTAAGGATGGTTGGGTGGATGTATGGAATAATGTGGGGCCACGAACCCATCAACCATTCAAATCATATGTGGGGAAATCCTAGTATATTTTTAACATTTGCAAATGTGATGATCTATTTTTATGTGAGATGTTGTGGTGTTGTCTTAGAAGACTGAATGAATATGTTGTACATACATACAGACGCCCTACCATTTGTTGGGCGACACGATGATAGTGTAAACATTTTTTAAAATATTTCTTTTTTTCTTGGTGTTTGTTTCCCTTTGCAGAAAGCGTCATCAGCACTCCGTCCACGCCGAATTCGTCCCTGTCGTCGCAGTTGAATCTGTATGGTTCGCCAAATACTTCGCCAGCCACGCCCACCCAACAGACCAGTACACCACTGGTAGGCAATAATACGATACGATCATCGGGCCACAAGAACAGCTTGAAAGGCACCAAATTAGCCAGGCGGGCCAGATCGTTTAAAGACGATCTATTTGAGAAAATATCATTAATGCGTACGCCGACAAATACATTGGGGAGGTAAGCAGCACCCAATCCCAAATGGGGAACGTCTCTAATTTCAATTAATATTTGTTTTAGATCCCATTCTCCCCAAAGTCCCCGGCATAAAAATAAGGTCCCACCAACAGCCGAGGAAGTGGCCAAATCATCACAAAAGATCGACTCATATGTGAAGGATATAACGAATGCTTTGAAACATTTCAAGGATGTTATACTTAAAAAGAAATTGGAAGTATTGCCTGGCAATGGTACGGTAATATTGGAAACGACAGCTAGTTTGTTTGCAGGTAAGCCTCAACGTCCAAATCCAATAATTAATTGGCCATCCCCAACCCCCATTTACTTTGCGTTTGTACCAATATGTAATTAAAACGCCGTTGCCGTTTTCATCGACAACGCACGTCAATGACTAATAATACCAAATATGTATTCTTGCCTGCCGTTTTAGTTATTCAAGCGAATACGCTGAATGAAAACAACACCAGTCTATTGTCGGCTACGCAACAAGTCTACCAATCACTGGGTAAACTGATCAAGCTTTGTGATGAAGCTATGCTAAGTGAAGATTCGGAGGAATGTGCTTCGTTGAGTAATGAAAATGTACGCGAAATTGTTGATTTACTTGAGGAGGCCGTAAGGGTATGTGGAAGAAGAAGATTTCGAAAAAAAATGAACAACAAAAAAGTTAATTCTTTTACTTTGTGGTTTTTTTGTTTTAGAATCTGGCTACATTGGCGCAACAGAGTTTAAAGGAACGCAGTGATTTGACATTTCAATATGATGTTAATGCCACTGAAGGCCAAACGCCCACAACAACAAATACAACAACAAGTGCATCCGTCGATTCCAATAGCACACACAATTTGTTAATGCGTCCCTCAGTTGAAGTTGCTGGACAACGTACATCTCTGCCGGATATAACATTGACACCAAAGTAAGTAGATATTTTGACGTCAATTGAAATAGAAGGAAACGCCAGAAAATAAAAATCGGATAAACCATTGTTGATTGTACCAATTATACAACAAATTTTAAAGGATTTAAAAAGTGTCGAATTGAATGTTAATTTGACATGAACGACGGGATTGAACTTTCCTTATCGAACACGAAGAAGTAGGAGTTCTAGATTCTCAAAACGCATGGTCCTTATTAGACGTGTGTAATAATAATGAGGGTTTTCCGTAAGGACATATGCATTTTAGAAATAATTTCATGATGATACAGAAGTATCTACTTCTAATATTCGTGACTCATGAACACAATGCAATACCAAACTCATATTGAAACTCATGACTCATTCTATTGTAATTTTCTGAGCAATATTTCTTATTGTAACTATACATATGAGTCCGTCAAAACCCATACAGATCAACGAATGAATCCTTCCACGACTCAACAAAAACCAGTAAGGAAATTAGTAAAGTCGGACTGGGCCGACTATGCGATACCCTTCACCACTTTGGGTATATTTTAGATAGGTATCTTAACAGACGTCGCCTTTTCGAGTATGTAATCTTTATCCATATGAGCCAACTAACATCAATCCGTACATATATTCTGAAACCAATGGTAAGTTTTATTTCATTCAGGCAGATTTAGAGTCGTTTGTGTACAATGGGACAAACTTATTTAAATCGATTTATAGCAAATTTAGTACTCGCTATTCGGTATGCCGCACTGTTCAAAATTTAATATCAATCAGACACCAGTTGAAATATATATGGAAGCTATGTATGCATCTGCATCAATTTCAACGTCATTCTAGTCCCAATTGAATACGTTGTGCAAACGTTCGCGTCAATCGGACAAACATTAGGAGTTTGGTGCACTAATTACCTAAAATCCGACGAAAATATATATGGGAGCTATATCTAAATCTGAACGAAACTTAGCAGACATTATTCTAGACTTAATTCAGTACGCTGTGCCAATTTTCGTGCAAATCGAAAGATATATAGGTACTTTGGTGCACTATTTGCCTTTAATCGGACGAACATGTATGTGGGACCTATATCTAAAGCTGAACCGATCTTCACGAAACTTAGCACATCATTGCAGACTCAATTCAGTACGCTGTTTAAAATTTCGTGCAAATCGAAGGATATATAGGGACTTTGGTGCACCATTTACATAAAATCGGACGAAAATATATATGAGAGCAATTTCAATAGGGTTCGTCCCTGGCCAAATAATGAGCTGTGCGAAATTTCATCCAATTCGAATTGCAAATGAGACCTGTACTTTGTTTATTATGCATGTCCGTCCGTCCTAAATTTATAATTTAGGACGGGCATGCATAAATCGGCTTAGAATGTGATTCTATTCATATTCTCAAAAGGAACCATTGGTATATCTCGTTTCTTTTGCCTGTTACAAACATATGCACAAAGACATAATACCCTGCACCACAAGGTATTATTATAACACACTACTTTCATTATAACAGATAAGAGTTTTTTTTTCATAAAGCAAGGGCGCCAGTTTCACTGATTGAGATAGAGATCGAAAATATGTTACTTTTGTAACAGTCCAACTGAAATTTCATTTCGAATCGTAGAGTCAGTCCACTGTTGTGAAAACGTTATAGTGTTACGGTTTTGTTACACACAGTCGTCAATTTTTTTTTATTTGCAAGCGAAATTGATCTGAACGATTTAGGAACGGGTTTTATGCACATAATGTTTATGGTCATTGGAAAAACAAATTTCCGATATAGTTTACAAAGAATACAAAGATGGTTTCATTAGAGGTTTTCTATAAACTTGTCTCTTTTAAACATTCGTTTTATCTATTAATTTTTAATATCTGTCTGACCGCCAAATATATACCTTTTCAACTGTTATTTAACCCTTGATTTTAATTTTTGTTTTTGTTTCCAGAGAACGGGATATACTTGAAAAAAGAACATCAAATCCCATGCATGCTTCATATAGTACTGAAAATATTTTAAGAGACTCCAGTCCCCCACCAAAACCACCATTGCCTAATAGGTATTTTTTGAAATAATTTTTTATACTAAAACTTTTTCAAAATCAAATAATAAATGTGTGTGTGTGTTTTTTTTCTATGCTTCAGATCACACAATCCTCCACCATTACCGCCAAAGAAAAACAGTCAACCACCCGTCAATCAATCATATACCAATTATGATACCAATATCAATAATTCAGATGCCGAATTAGGTGTGGATCAGTAAGTAGATTTATTCATATTCAAACATTTCGTATGAATTCTAATTTCCCTATCGTTTCTTTTCAGTCTAACAGTTCGTTCTTGTTCACCGGATGAGAATTCTAGTCAATGTTCTTTAGATCAGTCCCGTGAAGAAGAATATCATGAATACAATTTGGCCTACAGTAAGTTATCTAATCTAGTCCCATCATCTAACTACATCACTCTACGCTCAATATTTTTGTTTACATTGTGTTAGGAATTATTATTATTCTAATGATATATGTATGTACGTATGTATGTGATGACAAAATAATGCGTAAAAAGTGATAAGATAGCTTTGGAATTAAATTGCATATGCAATTTCTTCGGGGATTTCCATTTTCTGTGACAATTTACATAGATTAGGATTATTTTGAAATATGATATATATGTATATGTAATGTCGTCTGGCAGTAAACAACCGCAACTATTAACAAAAAACCACACAGCAAGAAATAAAAATACATTTCAAGTAATGTGTATAAATAGTTTAAGTTGCATTGTTTGTGAGAGTACAGAAATTATACACGCATTATTATTAATATTTTGGTAAAGGAGAGGAAAATGCCCTTTCTATTTTCTCCTAGTTTATTATTTTTTTTTTATTGTAATAATGTGGTGTCACTAATGCTCTAGTACATGGTAGTAACATTTGAAAGAAAGATACATATTTTCACCCACACAACAAAATTGCTAATCAAAATTTTGAAAAATAATTTAGAAAACCTAACGGAAGGTATTGGCGCTGGTGGCGGCCGTGGCAATGGACTAAGATCAGCCACCATTAGATCTAATGAACAAACAACAATCGAAAGCAATATTATCAACAAACAAACGGGCAAATGTGACTTATCTGGAGGCGGAATCATCAGTGAATTTGATGAGGAAATTGGCAAAACAGAATTGCGCAAAGTGAACAATCACCATCGGCATTCAAATGAATCGGGTATATTTTTCGTTTTGTTGTTTTCTTAAAAATTATATGTGTTGGATGTTGTAGAGCAGAAACCAGAAAAAGAAAAAAATACAAAAATGGTTATTGAATACTACCACTACCATTGTTCTTGTTGGATGCTGTGTTATTGTCCTTGTTATTATTGTTGTTTAAATACTTACACGTCATAATTAGAATTAACAATCATTTTTTATTTTATATATTTTATATTTCTTTTTTTAATTTATAATTTCGTATTAAATTATTGTTTGTTCTATTTCTTATGCATGCTATATTTATTTTGCATTTGTGTTTTTCACGTTCAATGTTCAATTTTTTTAACTTATTAAAACATTTGCACATTTTTCTTCAGGTTTTCATTCAAACTGTTCAATACGCACTTCAACACAAAGTTATTCCAAACACTCTTCCGATGTTAGTTTTCAATCATCTTCAAAGTCCAGCAACTCCTCCTCGGAGCTAACTTGTATGTACAGCAACAACAGCATCAATGAGGATTTCTTTCAACAACATCATCACCATCAGCAGCAGCTGCAGCAAATAAACAGTCTAAATAAAACGGCATCTGTATGCATATCGAGTACTAGCACCAGCAGTATATCGGAAGCAACAGCAATGCGTATTCTAAATGATGATGAACGTCGCATTTCATCTCCCGATCAATTTGAGGCAGAGAAAAGATTATTGGAACAACTTCAGGCAATGCCCATCACCAGCAGTAGCACAAGTAGTTCTATTTTCAAAAATAGCAATAGCTTAGATATAACCTCAACGGAGGATATACTGGCGACATTGTCGAATGATACACCACCGGCGTTACCACCAAAAAAATCCGGCCTTACGAAATTAGCTTCGTATGACTCAGATACACCGGATAAGTACGAAAATCGTTGATAAAAAACAATTGAATTTTGTTTTATAGACAAAAAATTTTTATTTTTTCAGCTCTACTGAAATACCTGAATTACGTCGTCAAGTTCGTACATTTCAATGGCAGACAAAGCACACAAGTTTAGATCCCCGTCGTTTGGATATGCCTGCCGGCAGCTGTAATGCCATCAATATGGGTTTAGATGGACACTTAGAACAACCCCCGCCCCTGCCCTTGAAGAAGAGGCATAGTAAGTATTGAACATGTTATTCGTTCTCTTTTCACATTCATAATTTTACACTCAACATTTACCACAGATCATCAAGATTCTTATTATCGAATAACAAGAAAATTTATATTAACTGCAGTCAAATACAGTCACGACAACAGTTATGCTATAAAAACAGTGCCATTTATAACGATTTCGGCTGTACAATTGGTATTGTTGAATTATGGTAGATATTTTGGCCCAAAAAATTCTTATGATAAAAGCAATTTTATATGGTCAATGTAAAGAATATACCAAGTCAGTCGAGGTTGGACTTTCAGTCTACAACCAAACACACATGCCTCAAAACGAGCCTAGATTTCCTGAAGAAGTTAAGTTAGATTAAGGGATGCACGGCTGCCTTAACAGCTGTTCATCCTGGGTATCTGAAAAAGAAGGGATTAAAAGGAAAGTGGAAAGGAGAGGAGATAGACGAAGATTAGAAACAGTGTAGAAAAATTATTTATATTAGCCATGTCAGAGCTTTAACAAAACTAAGGATCAATTCTGGAGAAGAATAAGGCAGAGTTATGATGTCAGAAATAGTCGGCAGAAATTTCCCACCGATTAGCAGGACTACATAATCGGCATAGGCTACAACCTTTATCCTGAGTAGATCGAATTTCAGAAGTATTTCATTTATCACTAAAATCCATAAGAGAATGCTCCACCATGTAGAAGATCAAGAGTCTCTCTACCAGATTTGGTCCACGTACCGTCGCTTCACTTTATACTATCTACAGATTATGGATATTTAGATATTACTCTGCGAAATTTGGTTGCTTCGTTCACATCTTCGATTGACTCGCTATAGCACACCCAAGACTCACATTTCGCCTTCTTGATTTCACTTTTGTACCTGTTAAATTGTTCTCTATAAACGTCCCAATCTGTACTAAGTTTCGTCCTATATGCTTTATTATAAGATTTCCTATCCTCCTTCCTAATGGATGACCACAATACCGACTGAAATTTCCTCCCAGGGTATGTCAAAGGACAAGAAGCCTTATAACTCCTCAGAAGGGTCCACGTGATATCGTTCCCAACTTTCTCAACATCCTCAATCGTTCCGAAGTCTTCGCGACCAAGGGATGTGGATGCTGTTTTAGCTTTGAATTATTTATTATAAGATTTCCTAGCAGCCTTTCTCAAGGATGCTAGGTTTTTTGACCGCCATACCGGCTGAAATTGCCTTCCAGGGTATGTCAAAGGACACGAAGCTTTATAGCTCCTCAGATTTATTATCGAAATTTAATTCATACTTTGTCATACTGACAACTGTAGATCGATGTCATAAAAAGTAAAATTTAATATCCGAATGATATTTCAATGCAGGATCAATGCAATCTGTTTTTATCAACAACAGTTTTTTGCCTCGGTCGCAATAGGTTACCCATTTCTCCCTCTCTTTCTCCATATTTCTCAGTTTGTTAATCAATTTGATTTAATTAAGAATTTAATCATAACAACCAAATCTACAAACACCCACCCCTACATCAGTCACACCACTCATTGCTCTGAACAAAAACTACTCTATACCAAAGTCAGACAAACAAAACAACAGCCAGCCAGCAACACTACTTTATCCCCACTGAGAGAAAACATCATTTCCATATTAGAGATCAATTTTGGTTGTGTTTTAATACCTAAATATGTAATTATGTGTATGAATTTCTCTTGTACGTCTGTTTTTCTTTGCATCTCTCTTTCAAACTCCCAAAAATTAAATATTTGCAAACTTGTAGTGTTTCAAAGTGTGGCATTTTCAGGTAAGTATGTATAAGAACAAGCAACTAAGTGTGTTGCACTGAACACGAAGTAAGGCCACCCAGCGCTCCAGCGTAGCAATAACGTAGGCAAAATCAAAACCCCCAGAAAAACAATGATGCCTGCTTTTGACCTACCCCCATAGACTAAAAAAATAAAAACAAACCAACAGCAACAATTAATAATATTAATATAAACAAACTATTGTTTGTATTTTGTTTCATGTTGAAATTTATGCTATTATTTTTTGTTTGTTTATATATTCAACTACATATTTGTAACATATCTAACACAACATACATACTAATAGTCTGCAATGTTTCTTCTTTGTTTTTGTTTCTTCCTTTTCCGATAAACAGTTTTGGCCTATATGGAAATATGTTCGGCATCTACACAACGTCACACGGTTCATGTCGGCAGCACAATGAACAGAAACATAACACACAGTCAAACAATGAAGTATGTTGGGTTATTTTGTAATCTATGAATCTATGAATTTTTAACCACATATTTCTTCTTCTGTTCTGAATTGTATCCATCTAGCATTGCTACAACATTTGTCCAAAATGATTTACAGGAGGTACCACCGGCATTGCCACCGAAAAGCAATAAGCAATGGAAAAATCAATCAGCAACATCAATTGGCAGCGGCGCCGGCGGCGCTGCCTCAACAACGTCAGCAGCCGTATCATCATCACCGGTGCCACCACCAACAATTATTACAACACCACCGCCAAGTCCAAAACCTTCACATTTAACATCAGATCATCGTATCCTAAGCTCCACCGGTGGCAATGAAATGATGTCAACGGTATCGGAAGAAGTTGATGATCAATATGATGAGACTGGCCTCATACATTCACACGAATTGCAAAATGTTTATGACACGTCCATGCCAAGAACACCCACATCGCCCACACTTGATAAAATGGGGCCAAATGGTGATTATTCCAGTGAAGTTGAGGATATGGTCAATTATAATAATTTTAATAGAAGGGTAAGGTTTTGAAATTGATTTAGATAATTTTTATGATATGATATACAGGGGAGTTTCCAATCGATGATTTTTATCGGTTTTTAAAATAGTTTTAATATATTAATTTGTTATGAGGGGTTAATTCAAACAAGAAGTGTCTTCGACTCTGTCTTTCACACCTTCCTTACTGCTACTAACGAAACTAAATTGATCTCTTAATTTAATTTCATTTTCAGAGTCCCCTATCCACAGAAGAAATTAATCAATTGCCAAATATTTTGGAAGAGGTTGATATAACGCCATATTTAATATTTAAAAAAGAGAATGAAGATGGTCCAGAAGTTAAAGGAGGCTATATCGATGCTTTAATTGTACATGCCAGTCGTGTACAAAATGTCACCGACAAAGGTGAGTGTCTGCTGCTGCTGCTTTAAATCAATATAAGTTTATTTTTTTATTTAATAATAATTGAATCTCTATCTCGTTTGACAGCATTCACTGAAGCATTTATAACAACTTTCCGAACATTTATACAACCCATCGATTTAATTGAGAAATTAACCCATCGTTATACGGTATTCTTTTGCCAATTAAATGAGCAAAAACTAAAGGCAGCCAATGAAACGTTTTCACTGATTGTTCGGGTTGTAAATGATTTAACGTGAGTAACAACGAAACTTAGAAAATGTTTAACTCATTGCTGTAAATATTAAAATCGTTTTTTTCTGAAATTTTCTAGTTGTACGGATTTAACTTCACCCAACCTGCTTACATTGGTAGTAAAATTTGTGTATGAACTTGTTTGTGCCGGCCAATTGAATTTTGCCAGAGTGTTGCGCAAAGAAATTGTTGAGAAAGTAAGAAGAAGCAATTTGTGAAAATCGAAACTCAATTCAATATTTTTTTTATTTGTCAGGTGAATTTGTATAAAGAGTCACGTATGCCTGCCTATCCACCAACTGATATGTTCTCAACGGTCAGTGTGCCGCCCAGTTTATTGGATTTCAAGGCCATGGAAATTGCCAGACAAATGACTCTGTTGGATGCTGAGCTATTCCAAAAGATCGAAATACCCGAAGTTCTAATCTTTGCCAAAGATCAATGTGAAGAGAAATCGCCAAATCTAAATAAATTCACCGAACATTTCAATAAAATGTCCTACTGGGTACGTTCGAAGATATTAATGTTGAACTGTGCCAGAGAGCGTGAAAAATATGTGGAGAAATTTATTAAAATTATGTCACACCTCAAGAAGATACACAATTATAATTCATATTTGGCCTTATTGTCTGCACTGGACTCTGCTCCGATTAGAAGGTAAGGCGGTGAAAGAGAAATTCCTTAGTAATGGAAACAATGTTTAATTTTGGTATTTTTTATTATATTTCATTTTCAGACTCGAATGGAATAAATCTATCAAAGAAACTTTAAAAAATAATTGTAATATAATCGATTCAAGTTCTAGTTTTCGAAATTATCGTAAAGCATTGGAAGAAACATCACCACCCTGCATACCATACATGTAAGTAAGACTATTATTGATGAGAATAAAATTCGATGTCGATTTAGCTGTTAGTGGAAATCACCATACAGCTCGCAATATTTAAGATGGATCCTAGAAGCTTTTCGCTATTCGAAATGGGATATATCGGACGTTTTGATACATATATAATATATATTTCCCTTTTTATTGTTATATTTTCAGTGGTCTTGTTCTGCAGGATTTAACATTTGTACATGTGGGCAATCCCGACTACTTAAAAGATGGTGTGGTTAATTTTTCAAAACGTTGGCAACAGTACAAAATTATTGTAAACATGAAGCGTTTCAAAAAATGGTAAGCACGCATTACATATTTTTGTATTCTTTAAATGTACACCCATACAAATCCATCCATTTTACAGCTCCTATAAATATCCACGCAACGAACGTATTATCAGATTTTTTGAAAATTTCGAAAACTTTTTGGGTGAAGAGGAAATGTGGCAAATTTCTGAAACGATTAAGCCAAGAGTTGGTAAACAACGCATGGTTGTAAATAATTAATTGTTTTTATCGTCAAACTTAGCATAAATATATAAGAAACAAAACTAAGAGAAAAGAAAACTGTCGAGCCAAGCAAAGCAACTATACAAAAACTAAAAACAAATTTGCATGGAGAAGAATTACAAATTATACAAAATGCAACTTAAATGAATAAATGAGTGAACGGAACGAAGCAAGAAATCAGATCGAGTGTATGAATGAAACAAACAAAGCAAACAAAACTGTATTCTAATAATATGATAAATAGAAATCACAAATTCAAAAACATAATAATCTAACTAACAAAACAAAAAAGAAAATCTAATATTACTTGCACAACGAATGATGTGAACGATGGACAAAAATGGTTTAATTTTAAATTTATGTTGATTTTTTAAAATAACTTCACATTGCATAGAACAAAAAAAAAATATTATTTGTCTTACAAAATGTTAGCGAACATAGTTGTGTGTTATGGTTTAATTAGTTGATGACAAAAAACTGTGTGTGTGTGTCAAGTTTAATGTTGTGAAAAGAATCGAAAAATATGTGGTTTCCATAAGAAAAGCATGATTCCCTGAACTCAAATTGGAAACAAAAACTGTGGCAATAATTCATCAAATATGGGCTGTTCCGATGAATATCACAGATTGATGATAGAATTTGAAACAACATCTAAAGATCAGTTATTGAAAATGTGTACGGAGCTTTTCTCGTTTGAATGGATAACAGAAAACGACGTTTCTACGCATATATCCAAGCTTAAAAGCTTGTGGAATGAAATCATTTCTGGTTTGATAATATTGCCTAAATCATTTGAAATGTTCACATCAAGTTGGATGATGCTCACACTAGATAAAGACAAGTCCTTAAATGAACTACTTATACAGCTCTGCTTGCTTGAAAGGAATTTAAAGAAATCGTAAGGTGAAATTGTGCAGAAACAGGAAGCATTAGTTCTGAATGAGAAGAAGAGTGAAAATATGCAGAATTTAAGGAATAACACTAGAGATGGAACCTGTCACTATTGCTAGAAATAAGGGGCATTAGATTAAAGACTGCAGAAAGTGGATAGCTGATGGAAAACCATGTAAGTCAAAGCCATCAGTAAAAACCAAGACCATAGTTCCAATGTTGCCCTTCATTTTGTAATGAAAAAAAAATAATTTGAGCATATCCGTCAATGATTGGTGGATTGACAATGGTGCAACAAGGCACGTAACAAATTCAAAAGCATTCTACGGATCTTTGAAAGAATCTCATTCTATACAAGCTGCAGGCAAAGAGACTTTACATACAACGGGGAAAAGGTACATTCAATTTTAAGTCAAAAGAAAAGGATGTCGAGAAGACAGTAAAACTTTATGATGTATGGTATGTTCCTGGTATATCCAGAAACCTTTTTTTCTGTTCTGTATGATAGAAACCCATCAAGTATGTTTTATTCTACAATAAATTAATGCCAGCTTGATGTAAATAGAGAAACGGTTTTATGTGTGGACACAGAGAGGCAAATGTAAAGTTCTATTAGAGTTGATTTTCATCAGATATCTGTAAATCAATGTGCTTCAAGTTCAATAGAAAAGTCGAAACTGCAATTATATCATGAAAGATGGGGACACCAAGATAAACAGTACGTTATGAAGAAACTAGAAAATGAAATGGGAATATACGTAAAGAAAAACAACAAAAAATATGTCAATCTAATAGTAATTGGACAATTCCATTGGTAATTCACAACATGTAATTTGCAATTCGGGAATTCCGTTTGCTAATTCATATTATATCAGTTGTTATTTGTTATTCATAGAATACCTTTTGAAATTCAAAGGAATGCATTTGAATAAGAATAATTTGAATAAGATTTAGTTTGAAATTCAAAGGATGGCATTTGAAATGCAAATAAGACAGCAAACAGACTGAATTAAAAGTACTAGCTGAGAGAGAGAGAGAGATTGTAAAATGCCGGACAATTTATCATAGCCATAGGCATCCTTCGTCGAGACAAATGTAGGGTTTTTAAACTTTTAAGAATATATTCATTCAGTGATTGTAAAATGCCGGACAATTTATCATAGTCACAGGCATCCTTCGTCGAGAAAAATGTAGGGGTTTTAAACTTTTAAAAATATATTCATTCATCGAATATTCTGACCACCAAAATCAACAATTCTACTTAACACACACATTAATTTTTTGTTATTAGCTAAAAGCCATGACATTAACATGATTGTAAAACAAATATTAAATGTAATAAATAATATGAAGACGTAAACACAACAACAAGATAATTTATATGATTATCAATGAATAAATGATTTTCAAAATCATATTACTCAAATGAGAATAAATCTGCGGGTTATTTTTTTAAATATTACTCTGTTGTATTTAAGCACTTTTCTAAAAAGTTGCACCTAAACATAAACTGCTTTGAAAAAAAAAAACTTAAATTTTACATAACTAATTTTTGTGGATAATTATTTAAAAAAATTGTTTCTTATTTTCTTTCAAATACTACTGTGTACTTTGAGAATCGTCGTCATCCATTATCACAATCAAAATGCATTGGTCACACAAGCAAACAAAACAAACTAAAACCACAACAATATAAAAGTAACTTTTTTCAAGTGCTCTAATTGTATTCCTTTTTTTGGCACAATTAATTTACTTTACAAAAAAAAAAGATGGACGGATTTGGATCGAAACGACAGAAGTGTTGTTTTGAACCCATTTATTATTTTAATTTTTTTTTAAATCGATGCTAAATATTTACACTTACACACACACAAATTAAAAAATACAAAGAAACACAAGGAATCAAGACTGTCTTTTTAGATGTAAATACATACATAACACATATATATATGAAATATATATTTAAAACATAAATATATGTACTTGTATTCATGTATAGTTTCTGTTTTCCAAAAAAAAAAAGAGAAGAAAAAATATTTCACACCATCCCTCTAAATAATTTCTATTTATAACGTTTTGTTTGTTTCATGATTATTTTGTACCAAAAAAAGTTACATTTCAAATTCTATGTGTATTATAAAATCAAAAAAAGAAAAAAACTCTTCTCCTCGTATGTAAACGATATACATATGTATATGTATATGAAAGTTGTATTATTAGCAGCATTGAATTTTGTTTAAGTTTTTTTTGTTCTTCTGTTGATTAGCCATTTCTCTAGATACCTTAATTTAAGTAACGCCTGCAATTGTAACGAAAGTTTTAAGAAAGCATTTTTTCTATTAATTAATTTATTTTTTTTTTTTCACTCTAATATAAATATTTTATGAAAACAAAAAGAAACAAAAAAACAAGAAAATGTCGAAAAAAAAAATCGCCTAATTAATTATATTTTATGTGTATATACAAACAAACAAAGAAAACAAACACACACACATACACAATTTGATTAAACTATACTATATATTATATATTTATATTAATTTATTTTATATAAATTATAAGTAAGATTTAAAATATTTTTAACAAAAACAAACAAAAAAATCTACAAGAAAAACAAAGTGATGTTTACTTTTTATTTTTTTATACTCAACAAAATAAATGTCAATCAAAAAAAAAATAACATTTAAACATGGGCCTGTTTACATTCAAAGGCCCAAGATTATTATTAATTCAAACTTATTAAATTACTTAGAATATGTTGTAGGATTTTTTTAATTGTAACTATTTCAAAGTCTTGTTCTTTATGCTACGGCATACGATTGCGAAATATATATATACATAAGGGGGTCCCAATTTGTATGGTGCCGAAAAATTCGATTAAATCCGAGTCTCCCATTTTTTCAAAAAAATAACATTTAAACATGGGCCTGTTTACATTCAAAGGCCCACGATTGTTATTAATTCAAACTTATTAAATTACTTAGAATATGTTGTAGAATTTTCTTTTAAATTGTAACTATTTCAAAGTCTTGTTCTTTATGCTACGATATATATATATATATATAAATAAGGGGGGTCCCAATTTGTATGGTGCCGAAAAATTCGATTAAATCCGAGTCTCCCATTTTTTCAAAAAATTATTTTTCCCCATAACATCATTTTGATTAAAAATTCGATTTTTATTTTTAACTTTACCTAACAACTTGCATTTTTTCTCAGAAGAGACTAAAATAGGTATGAAACGCCTTCAGGCGGTGATCATAGGTAAAAATAATGATCAGAAAGTAATTTCTCGACCCATATACACATAAAAAAGATATATTATCGGTGAATAAAAAATCGAAAACGTTGACCACCATAACCTATGATTTGAGAAATCTAACGATTTCCTTGCAAAGGCAATGGGACTGTCAATAAAGATTCGTGCTCCCTCTTCTATCAAGTGTTTCTTAGAGTAAAGAAAAACTTATTTAAAAAAATTCAAAACCATATGCAAATTAGTCCAGTCATTAACTGTGGAAATAAGAAATCTGTTCGGTTGATTTGGTATGTCACCTTCAGTAAAAATACGCCCAGTTCTATTGATGCTTTCTTTTTTTAACTTGAGTGAGGATTTGCTTTTCTAGAAAAAAAGCGCTAAGCTTTCGTGTGGGATTTTAATTTCAGTAAAGGTTCGTTCTCCGCTATTTCTGTAGCATCCAAGCAAATAGGATTTTCAACTATTTATGTCGCATAACTTACCACAGATCGGCCTATTGCTTTATATATAACTTCTGGTCGTTAAGGTTCGTTTGTCGGGTTAGAGAATTGAATACCCCTTTTCTGTTTAATTTCACATTCGGGCCCCCTGAATATATTGCAATACCCTTCTAATTAAAATATTATTTCCACCAATTAACAATACTACAACATATGCTAAAAAATTTCAAAAAAAAAAAACAGAAAATACAAAACAGCAAGGTTCGTTTGTCGGGTTAGAGAATTTAATACCCCTTTTCTGTTTAATTTCACATTCAGGCCCCCTGGATATACTGCAATACCCTTCTAATTAAAATATTATTTCGACCAATTAACAATACTACAACATATGCTAAAAAAATTCTACAAAAAAAAAAAAAAAACAGAAAATACAAAACAGCAATTTAAAATT